ACTGTCTCGCCCCTGCCGGCCGACAACCTCCCTGGTAGGGACGTCTTCTCTCTCTCGTCTGCTGCTCTGTCTGTTAATGCTCCATGCTGGATAGCTCTCCGAGTTTATATTGGGGAACCTAGTAGCTAACTCCGCCCACAAGTAGATAGCCTCCGGCACTACCAAGCCACTCCTCAAACGTCGGCTTGTTTGAAGGCTACCAGACTACAATTAAGAGCTTAGCGGAAGCAAGGTGAAATTCTCATGATCTGACCTCAGGTCACTTGAGGTCATTAACGCTTTGAGGTGTGAGATCTCAGGCAGACAACTGGCGCCTTTCCAAATCCCTGTCTGTGACTCATATTCTATATATATTTTAAATAAACTAACCCAAACACTTTTACAGTGTTACATCTCCCCTTCTCCCCGAAATAAAGTTTTTGCAACACTGCTAAAGCAAGCTAGCTGTGTGCAACAACTTTATTAACGAAAAAAAAATACATCCTAGCTAAACAATTATACATCATCCTACTCTAAAAAATGAAATATGTAGACAGACGTCCATTGTCTCTGGCTGGGCGACGTCACTGCTTGGTCTTGTAGATAATCCTGTACCACATTTCTTCAACACAACTGCCTCCGTCGCTTCTCCGTCGTTAACGCACAACAACACTTGGTCAACCCGAAAGCCGTTACTACTTGAACTGAGCACAGGACCGTGGAATTCGGTTGTCCCAGCTGATCTGTAATTGGCCCTACGTCAGTCACCATGAGAGACGTATATTGGGGTTCTTCACAGCTATAGGGACTACAAGTTTCGAGACCTTCATATAGTTGCCAACAGTAGAAATCCCATCCTACTCTTCTTCCTCCCTGTTGCTCCAGCACGCCTCCTTCAGAGAGCTACTTCTGACAGCCACATCAAGTCCGCATGACACAGGAAGAATCACTCAACAGAGCAACATGCTTGTAGGAGGGGCGGCCAGTCAAGGCAAACGATCCTGTCTTGCAATTACGCTCCATGCAATAATGCTGACACCAGCAAGGGACACTAGGTATCGTGTCTCAGCTTGGCTTATCTTCTTCTTTCTTCTCTCTTCTTTCTTCTCTCTTCTTTCTTCTCTCTCTCTTTCTTCTTTCTTCTTTCTTCTCCTTCCTCCCCCATGGGTCTTTGACAAGCGACCTGGGGTCCATTGGGGGTCTGTCCGTCCTGGGGTCCATCCTGGGTAGACCGATGTTGGTGGGACAGACTGGAGTCGTTGTTGCTCCTCTTCCATCATTACTGGGTCGTCTGGGGTCGTCTGCAGAACGACCTGGGGTCCACTGGGGGTCCGTCCGTCTTGGGGTCCACTGGGGTCCGTCCGTCTTGGGGTCCACTGGGTAGACCAATGTTGACCGACCGAGAGGGCTGCATCTTGGGGTCCCCTGGGGTGGTGGTGGTGGTGGTGGCCCTGACATCCAGGTAGGGGCTGGTCGTCGTGGTGGTGAGGAACAGCCGTGAGTGTGGTATAAGGCAGCCGTCTCCCTCTTCTGTATGTGCGTCTCTCCTCTCTTCTGGCTCCCACCTGTGAAATGAACAGAAAGGCGACAATACGTGTTCCCAAGATGTTTGTGTGACCCTGTAGTTTGTATAGGGTTACACAGTCCTATCATACCGCTCTCCTCCTGGCAACAACTACACTTCAATTTTTAATAATTCAATTAACTCTGAATGATATTGACTTGGTGGAACATAAAACAGTAACAGAGTAAAGTTAGAGAAGAGAGAATAAGGTCATCACTACTTTTAACTTGTCACAAAAAAAAAATCAACACTAATAGACAAAACACTAGCCTAAACTTAACTGTACCGTTCCTAATCTTAAGTACATAATTAACCATTACTCCCACCCTTAACCTACAGCCACCTACGTGACCCAGAGTGTCTCCCTAGCATCTCCGCCGTTCAACAACTCCAAACTGTTGCCACCCCTGTGACCAGACTATCTAACGTCGAGCGTCCCCAACGTGAAGTCTACTGACATACTAAGGCTCCCCCTAGCATGCTGTACAAGACCAGTACACCTCGGGTTATTGCGTTCAAATGGAGTAAAACAGTCGATCGCAATAATCTGAGCAGAACCACCACTAAATTCTACTTAAGAACTACACCTGCCACTCCCCAACTGACCTGGAGACCAGCGGTGGCTGGGTGTCCTCCTGGGACATGCGAGGTCACCTGTCACACTCAGCTGACCTGCACTACCAACACCGCTAAGTTCCCAAATCGCCAAATCTTATCACTAACATAAATCACTACACACGCAAGTTCTGGTGAACATTCCCTGAATACCACAAAACTCACAAAATCACTAAACACAACACCCGAGAATCACCATCTCCTAACCTGAACAAAGCTCGCTAAATCGCGAATAATAAACACCTGTCAAGATCTCCCTGATAGCGCCTGAGCGGCAAAAAGACACGTGGGACTGAACAATGTTAAAAGAACACCAACTACCTACAACATTGTTCAACACCGCTGCCATCATTGTAACGGGGGGTGGGGGGAAATAGCTCTATCTTGTCCATTATTCCACCCCCCAGTTAACTAACGAGGCCGGGGGAAACAGCTCTCTCTAGTCCGTTATCCCGTCCCCAGTTAGCTAACTATTCTAGAGCACCCTCCAGAGTTCCTAAGGCAACCTCTCTCGTTCAACACCTTGTAACCTAGGTATTTGACTACCTAGGTACTAAGACCACAAGGCGTCGTAACTGGATCAGCTACCCGAAACTCTAGAGAGAACTCTAGAATACAAAATCATTGCCACAAACGTATAAGAGGAAACGAAAGGAAAGAAATGAAAAGTGAAGTAATTAGTGAGGGTTTGGGGTGAGAGGTAGAGAGGTGGGAGGAGCGAGGAGGGTCATTAGTTGAAAGTGAGAGTTTAGAGAGGGGTGGAGGGAGAGGTGTAGATAGGTAGAAGTAGAAGAGTAGATAGTAGAAGTAGAAAGTAGATAGTAGAAGACGAAATGCTGCCACCATCCATTCATGATCATTACATACGAGACAAGGAATGGAACTTGCCTGTATCACAATATTCTCAAAAGATGTTATCATGAGTTCATTATTAGTAGTTCCCATCTTTATCATTTACTCATTCTAAACCATGAAAACAGTAACCATAGAGGCTTTCTCACCTCAACTCAAAGCTCTAGGGAACAAAGTTAAACACAATTTAAATAATAAATTCATAATTATATTTCCCATGAAGTATCATAATTTAGCAATTAAATTAAAATGTTCCAGTTTAATATGCAAAGTGAGTCATCATCCAAGAATTCGAGAACCCTACAACTTGACTGCCCCTGATCATCACACAACATATGTAAACACGACCAAGTCACCTTAATGTTCACTCACCGAGTACTGAGTCTAAGTTGAATAGAGAGGGGGGGGGGGTCTGTAGCTTGACAGAGACTGTCTCGCCCCTGCCGGCCGACAACCTCCCTGGTAGGGACGTCTTCTCTCTCTCGTCTGCTGCTCTGTCTGTTAATGCTCCATGCTGGATAGCTCTCCGAGTTTATATTGGGGAACCTAGTAGCTAACTCCGCCCACAAGTAGATAGCCTCCGGCACTACCAAGCCACTCCTCAAACGTCGGCTTGTTTGAAGGCTACCAGACTACAATTAAGAGCTTAGCGGAAGCAAGGTGAAATTCTCATGATCTGACCTCAGGTCACTTGAGGTCATTAACGCTTTGAGGTGTGAGATCTCAGGCAGACAACTGGCGCCTTTCCAAATCCCTGTCTGTGACTCATATTCTATATATATTTTAAATAAACTAACCCAAACACTTTTACAGTGTTACACTACAGCACCGTACAGGAGCCCTACAGCACTGTACAGGGGCCCTACAGCGCCGTACAGGGGCCCTACAGCGCCGTTCAGGGGCCCTACAGCACCGTACAGGGGTCCTACAGCGCCGTACAGGGGCCGTACAGCACCGTACATTACCTTACAGCGCCCTACAGGAGCCCTACAGCGCCCTACAGGGGCCCTACAGCACCGTACAGGGGCCCTTCAGCACCGTACAAGGGCCCTACAGCACCGTACATTACCTTACAGCACCGTACAGGTACCCTACAGCACCGTACAGGTGCCCTACAGCACCGTACAGGGGCCCTACAGCACCGTACATTACCTTACAGCACCGTACAGGTGCCCTACAGCACCGTACAGGGGCCCTACAGCACCGTACAGGGGCCCTACAGCACCGTACAGGGGCCCTACAGCACCGTACAGGGGCCCTACAGCACCGTACAGGTGCCCTACAGCACCGTACAGGTGCCCTACAGCACCGTACAGGTGCCCTACAGCACCGTACAGGTGCCTTACAGCACCGTACAGGTACCTTACAGCACCGTACAGGTACCCTACAGCACCGTACAGGTGCCTTACAGCACCGTACAGGTACCTTACAGCACCGTACAGGTACCTTACAGCACCGTACAGGTACCTTACAGCACCGTACAGGTACCTTACAGCACTGTACAGGTACCTTACAGGTACCGTACAGCACCGTACAGGTACCTTACAGCACCGTACAGGTACCTTACAGCACCGTACAGGTACCTTACAGCACCGTACAGTACCTTACAGCACCGTACAGGTACCTTACAATACTGTACAGCACTGTACAATACCGTACGGTGCTGTACATAGGGTTTGGGGTGCTGCTCGGACAAAGTGTCTCAGACTACATTATTTTATAAGTGTTGGAGCTGGGCGTCCTGTGCCCCGCTTGCTATTCAGTGGTTAAAACCCTTTTGAAAATGTTTGGCCCAATGGACTACTTAGGTCTAAGGCTTATTAATTCGGGCCCTCTGATTATCCCGCACATTTGATGGTGCTACATAGCCTTCCCGGTTTGGTGCCTTCTATTGATAATTACTTATTTATTAATACGGGATACATAGCCTTCCCGGTTTGGTGCCTTCTTTTGATAATTACTTACTTATTAATACGGGATACATAGCCTTTCCGGTTTGGTGCCTTCTATTGATAATTACTTATAAATACGGAAGGATTGACATCTACGCGTACTATGAGCCTCTGTCGGAGCTGTCAGGCCGCATCGTTACACGGGCCGGAGGTTTCTTGTTTTTTGATACGAAAGAATACATTATTTACGTCATTTGCACGTCTTGGCGGCGGCACCGGGAGGGTGCACACACCTACGTGATCGTCCAGTCACTTCGACCCTGACATACTTCTTCTCCACCACCGTTTACTTCCTCCTTGGGTGATCCTTTTGCACCGCTCTATGTAACTCACATCTATCGCAGGGATACTGGACGTACCTGATTGTATGGGAAATCTGTCCAACGAACATGTCAAACGACATGAAATTTCCGTCCGAGTATATACCGGTGGCTCCAAGTCCTCCAGAGGCCATGGTTATGCTGCCATCTACCGGAAGGTGACTCAAGACACGTCGGCTGCCGGATGAAGCCGATATAGAGTGGCAGAGTTGTGTGATACTGAGACACATGAAGAGATGTGTCGCATTTATTGATCTGTAAAGGACCCTGAAGGCCATAAAGTACTTTCATCCAAGCTTAACCTGGTCTGCAGCATGTATAAATCTCATTGTTTATGCTGGGCAGAGGGTCGCAGAGGACGACCCTCGCTAAGGGACCGTTGCTGCGTCAGAGCTCGACCAGGACGGAGCGAGGGGGGGGGACTATTAGGAGGAAACGCCAAGCCATTGCGACTATATAGCACTGGAAAGGGATCAGGATAACGATTAGGGATGGGACGGAGGGAAGGAATGATGCCCAACCACTTGGACGGTCGGGGATTGAACGCCGACCTGCACGAAGCAAGACCGACGCCGTACCGTCCATCCCAAATGGTTGGGCCAGGACAGAGCGAAACATCGTTGTTTCATCTGATGTGTGGGTTGGTCATCATTTTTACCACGTTGGATCTAAATCCCCCTTGATTATTTCACCCCAAATAACTCTCGATCTAATTTCCAATATTCTCTTATTGTAGATGTTTGGTGGGCATCATTAAGCCTCATGCCGCCGCCCTTTACATGGAAATACAATAAAAACGTAATCGTTTCAATAGATAATAATGTAAATAAAATGTAATATTTCGGGAAAAATCGACTTGTTAAGCAAGTGCAACCCCTGATACTTACAATTATACATTGTGCCTAGTTATTCGTATGCTGCTTATTATTATCATCATTGTGAAGTTGTGATATTGGTTTATTTCTGGATAAATTCCATTGAGGTTATACGGTTCGTAGGGTGAGGAGTAAGGGCGGGCCTCCCTCCATTGTTTTCATGACGTCCAACCATATTTAATTATCGGGGCCACCACTACCACCACCACTACTACCACCTCGACCCCCACCACCCCCACCATCACTACTACCCTCACCACCACTACCACCACCACTACCACACAGTGCTCACTATGAAACAAAGGTGACCCTTGCACCGGTGTCGGGGCTGGCGGCCCCTGGCAACACCTGTTCCACTTTTATCCAACTATGGTCGCGCGACGCCGGGAGCGGCCCCTCTCCCAGGACTATACTCACTGTACTGCTCATAGCTGTAGTGCTCCCTGCTATACTGAGCCTTTCTATACTCTTACTCTTTGCTATATATATATTGATGATGTTGCCAGGTGAAAATTGTAATACTGTGCGTCTTACTTGATAATTGGAGTTGTGCAGTGCCAGTTTCACCTGATACCGCAGCCAGTGGCACTTACCACCACGCTACTTCAAGTAAGTGGACTTAAGTCGCATACAATGGAGATTAAAAATCATTTTGCATTTCGGAAACTTGGCAGTACAGTATATAAATTTTGAACCCCCCTCATGCCCCTGCTGTGAGTGGTGGTGGATGTGTAGTACATGTTTGGGACCTTTATAACTGTTGATAGGGCAGTAAGGTAGTGCGACAGCCTCCTCAGGTTAACATAGGCCAAAGGCCAATTATCAAGCAAGATGAACATTAGTTCAATAGAAAAATCAACATAATTGCCCGAAACGCTGCACGTACTAGTGGCTTCACAAGAATGTAATTACTATGCTATGTATCCTCACAATCCCAATGAACCTTCTTGTATATATATAAATAAATAAATTGATATCGATTTTATTCTGTAGTCTCATAGTATTCCATTTAAATATAATATTCAGTATTGTAGATGTTTTATGATGAAATGTTTGTGGATGGGTGTTTTATCATGTGCTAAAACATATTTACATAATGCTCTGCTACACGTTCTATGTTAATATGTGCTTTATTTTATGTATTTTTTGTTCTAACTTTCAGTGGCTGATAGTGATGCTGAAGAAGCAGTGATGCCGGAGAGTCTGCTGAAGAGAGAACATGTGCTGGCAGCCCTGACGGCTGATAGAGGACACACTGCTCACCTCAAGTCATGGTCAATGCGACAGTTCACTGAAGCAGGAGAAAACGCGACTGCGTTTGTGGCTTGTGTTATAGTTGAATTTTCCCAAAATGGCAAAATAGAAAAGACTAACTATATAGCCAAATTAAATCCACTTAGAGGAGAAACTTGGAGTGATTTCATGCATATGGCATTTCATAAGGAAAGTAAATTGTACCAGGAAATTGAGCCCATGTTGACGATGCTGTTGGAAAAGAGAGGACTTGATGCACTTAGAATTCCTCGATGTCTTTTCTCTAGCTTGGAGCCGGACCAAGAAGTAATAATTCTTGATGATCTAAGAGGCCAAGGCTTTCGAAAGTATGATCGTAGAAAGACAATGGACATAGCACACGCGACAGTAGTCTTGCAAGAGATGGCAAGATTTCATGCAGCCTCCATGTTGCAAGTTACACAGATTCCAGATTTTGAGGTCAAATATGATTTCCTATGCAAACACTGGTGCAATTACAAAGCCGATGCTGGGGACACTTACCGTGTGGTTATGAGTGATAATCTGGAGAACGTAAGAGTTTTGTTACAAACGGAGGAGGGCTATGAGAGAGCGGCGGATTGGGTAGAGAGACTTAAACCTCAAGTCCTCAGTATGTTTGAGGAGCAAACTGCCACAACTGCATCTTTTACTGTTATATGTCACCTTGACTTGGTCAACAATAATTTACTATTTAGGTAAGAGACAATTTCTTACACTTTGTAAAATAATGTATTGTTTTTTGTTTGGATGCATAAGTATTCACAAACATTATCCATAAAGTATAGTATAGAAAATGGCTATTATTTCTCTTAAACTTGGCTTTAAGTTGCCGAAGACAGGTTAGGGAGGATGTCTTGAAGATACCTGAAGGGCAGCAGCAGCAGGTTGTGGAACAATGTCACTGCTCTAGATAAGCAATTAGCAGCCTTCAAGTACAGTACAGGGATCTTCAAATAACTTGTCTTACTTAAGGTGTCTTGGACAAGCAATGTTTGAGGAGAATAAGGGCCAATCTGTATCTTTTGAGGTGTAAGCAATTAGAAAATAGTTGCAAGAAAAACAGAAATGTGTTATGTATGGAATAATGCATTGAATTATTCTGTTGTGCAATGTGTCAAGAGTAAAATAATATAAAAACATGAGAATATATACACTACTTCTCAAGTGTGTATAGATTGTTACAGGGGTATAATTATATATATACAGTAATTTCAGCAATTTACTTGACAAGAGTTTGGAAAAAAAATGGTTTGTTCCCATAAACTGGAAACATTAATTCTGTATTATACCGGCAGGTACAATGAGCGAGGCGAGCCTATAGATGTACGGATTTTGGACTTCCAAATGTGTTACATTGCGTCCCTAGCCACCGACCTGGCAGAGTTCTTCTATACTTGCCTCGGCGCCAGTGACAGAAAAACCCACCTAGATTGTTTGCTGAGCACCTATTATGCCTCGTTCAGCGAGGTGCTGGAAGCGAGTGGCACAGCTATGCCTTTTACCTACAAGGAACTACATGAAGAATACAAATGCAAGTTTCTCTTTGGAGTGCTTGCAGCCATATGGAAATTGCCATTCATCATCGCAGAAGGTGATGAGATCCCAGACATGGACAACTATGTTGATCAAGAAGCCTTCTGCCAAACTCAGCAGAGAAACATGCTGACAATGCTCAAGAAATACAAGAATTTTCACCTTCGTTTTCTGTCGATATTTGATGAAGTCTGTGACCTAACAGGACAGGTGTGAATATTTTTGTAATATACCAATGTGTGCCCATATTTTTTCCCCCTACACTTTTAAGGGGGGGGGGGGGGGGGGTGAGACCTGTATAATTTTAGTTGGAGAGAGAGTACAATCAGAATTGTTAGGTGGTAGTTCTCTTTTTGTGTTCAATGAGATCGAGAATCATTTTTTCTTTACTTTTATTTGCTATTTTAAGTTTGACAAGGCTTTAAATGCTGCCTTGTATCTAGCAATACACTTTGTTGCAGAAACTTGAGATGGGCAGCAGGCAAATCTTGCTAGGACTTGTCATGTGGTGATAAGTTTCTCAGACATTTTAGAAGTTAAAATCTTCAGTGGGCAGTTTATTAGAAGCACAATGCATCTTGTATTTGACAAGACTCATCATCTGTATCCTGTCAATATACTTCAGATGTCTTGATCTCTATGAAAAGTAAAGAGAGGGAAATTTATAATGTAAATACAAAGAAATTACAATGGTGTGATATATGTATGAAAATCATTTTGAGGCAATGGAAGTGATTCATGCCTGCATGCTGGTGAGCCCCAGACACGTGCCCTAACCGACTGCCATGATGGTACAAAAGCATACCAAACAGGAACTATTGAATTCACTGGAAGGTTTTTGGGTTTGCAGTTGACTCGATCACACACTGCCTATGGTAATGGTGTTCATCATACTCTTACGCCATTCGGATCGAATTTCTTTGTCATCCACGTGTAGTGGGCGTGAACAAAAATTTTCTTTGTGATTCGAATGGCATAAGAGTATGATGAACACCATTACCATAGGCAGTGTGTGGTCGAGTCAACTGCAAACCCAAAAACCTTCCAGTGAATTCAATAGTTCCTGTTTGGTCTGCTTTTGTACCATCATGGCAGAGTCGGTTAGTGCACGTGTCTGGGGCTCACCAGCATGCATCATTCCATTGCCTCAAAATGATTTTCATCATATAAAATGGAAGAAAAGAATATATAACTGTATAGTATATATTAAAACTACACTATATTAAATATTATAGTCTATTCCTTTCATGTACATTATGCCTCAGACCAAGTCCATTCCATCCAGTGCTGGACCCCAAAGACGCATTTCATCAGTTTTAACATCCTGTTCATTCTAAACAGGAATTCTCTCAAAAATAAATTACGTATTAGCATACTGTGTTTTTAAGCATTGGTTAGGCTAGGTGTTCAGGTTCTGTTGGCAATTATTTGTACTACTGGTACATGGTTAAAGCATTTACAGCATTGTGGTTCGAACAAAAGTCATCAGCGAAATACTTGTCCGAGAAGAACATAAGAACATAAGAACATAAGAACAAAGGTAACTGCAGAAGGCCTATTGGCCCATACGAGGCAGCTCCTATTCTATAACCACCCAATCCCACTCATATACTTGTCCAACCCGTGCTTGAAACAATCGAGGGACCCCACCTCCACAATGTTACGCGGCAATTGGTTCCACAAATCAACAACTTTCGCCCTCCTGGGCTAAGGTATGCTGAACTCTGTAGTTACTATATGAGTACTGGAACACTTGATGATATATTGGACTTGTATCCAAAATTGACCATGTAATGTATCAATCATACAATGTATGTATGTACAATGTATGTATGTGATGTAACTATATAACCTGAGCTTGTAAAAGCACCTTCATCACCTTCAGTGATTAAGTGCTTAATTGCACACTAGTTTCTTTATCAGCTACCTCACCCTGTCAGGGTAAATGAGACAAATGTATGTGAATGCATGTATGTGTGTATATATGTATGTGTATGTGTGTGTGTGTATGTATATGTATGGGTATAAAGCAAATATGGAAGCTGATCAGAATTACATTTCACCTTTGTGAATGTACATTAATGACACTATGTAAAAGACACATCTAATACTTTATGTAGGGCGTACGTAAATCTGTGTATCTTTGTATTTACGTATGTAGGTTAGCTTAGCATTTTAAAAGCACCGAATCACCTTCTGTGGTTGAGTGTTCAATAAACCCTTGAACTGTATGTTTAACACTTCTCTAACCCTGTCCATGGAGGACAGAAGAAAATGTATATATGCTGGTTAGCATTGTAAATGTGTGGCCACGTCTGTGGTAGAAAATAATAAAAAAAAAAAAAAAAAAAAAAAAAAAAAAAAAAAAAAAAAAAAAAAAAAAAACTGAACCAGTATTTACCCAAGTCTTTCCTAAATCTAAACTTATCCAATTTATATCCATTGTTTCGTGTTCTGTCCTGTGTTGATACTTTTAATACCCTATTAATATCCCCCCGGTTATGTCCATTCATCCACTTGTAAACCTCTATCATGTCACCCCTAACTCTTCGCCTTTCCAGTGAATGCAACTTAAGCTTTGTTAATCTTTCTTCATATGAAAGATTTCTAATTTGGGGAATTAACTTAGTCATCCTACGCTGGACACGTTCAAGTGAATTTATATCCATTCTATAATATGGCGACCAAAACTGAACTGCATAATCTAAATGGGGCCTAACTAGAGCAAGATATAGCTTGAGAACCACACCAGGTGTCTTGTTACTAACGCTGCGATTAATAAATCCAAGTGTCCGATTTGCCTTATTACGAACATTTATGCATTGATCCTTTTGTTTTAAATTCTTACTAATCATAACTCCCAGATCCCTTTCGCAATCCGACTTCGCAATCACAACACCATCTAGCTCGTATCTTGTAACTCTATCATCATTACCTAACCTCAGAACTTTACATTTATCAGCATTAAACTGCATCTGCCAATCCTTTGACCATTTCAAAACCCTATCTAGATCAACTTGAAGTGATAGTGAGTCCTCCTCCGAATTAATTTCCCTACCGATTTTCGTATCATCGGCAAATTTGCAAATGTTGCTACTCAAACCTGAATCTAAATCATTTATATATATTATAAACAACAGAGGTCCCAGGACAGAGCCTTGAGGCACTCCACTTACAACATTTTCCCACTCTGACTTGATTCCATTTATACTAACTCTGTTTCCTTTGGTATAGCCATGCCCTAATCCAGTTTAATATAGCACCCCCAATACCATGAGACTCTATTTTTTTAATCAGTCTTTCATGTGGCACTGTATCAAAAGCTTTGCTAAAGTCAAGGTATACAACATCACAATCCTTACCACTATCAACTGCCTCAACAATGCTAGAATAAAAAGATAACAAATTTGTTAAACATGAACGGCCATTTATAAAACCATGTTGCGACTCAATTATTAATTTATGTTTTTCAAGATGAAGACGAATTTTATTTGCTATTATAGATTCGAGTAACTTTCCCACAATAGACGTTAGGCTAATTGGTCGATAGTTAGACGCAAGTGATCTATCTCCTTTCTTAAAAACTGGTATCACATTAGCAACTTTCCAAAACTCTGGCACTCTGCCTGACTCTATTGATTTATTAAATATGGTTGACAGTGGGTCACAAAGCTCCTCTTTGCATTCTTTAAGCACCCTAGCAAACACTTCATCCGGCCCTGGGGATTTGTTTGGTTTGAGTTTTACTATTTGTTTAAGAACATCCTCCCTGGTAACTGCTAAACTCGTCAACCTGTCCTCGTCCCCACCCACATAGACTTGTTCGGCTGAAGGCATATTGTTAAGTTCCTCTTTAGTAAATACAGATACAAAATATTTATTAAAAATACTACTCATCTCTTCATCACTATCTGTTATTTGACCTGTCTCAGTTTTTAATGGACCTATCCTTTCCCTAGTCTTAGTACGATATAACTGAAAAAACCCTTTAGGATTTGTCTTTGCTTGCCCTGCGATGCGAACTTCATAGTTTCTTTTTGCTTTCCTTAGCTCTTTTTTAACATTTCTAACCAGTTGTACGAATTCCTGTTCTAAAGTGACCTCCCCATTTTTAATCCTTTTGTACCAAGCTCTCTTTTTACCTATAAGGTTCTTCAAATTCTTTGTTATCCACTTTGGGTCATTAGTATACGATCTATTCAATTTGTATGGTATACTACGTTCCTGTGCTTTGTTTAGAATATTCTTAAATAAGTTATATATTGAATCCACATCGAAATCCCCATTTAAGTCACCTATCGCTGGGTTCATGTCTCGCTCCAAGACCGGCCCACACCCCATACCCAAGCCTTTCCAATCAATTTGACCCAAAAATTTCTTAGGCTATTAAAATCAGCTTTTCGAAAATCTGGCACTTTAACAGAATTTTCTCCTACTGGTCTATTCCATTCTATGCTAAATCTGATTTCTTTGTGATCACTGCTCCCTAGCTCACTCCCTATTTCGATGTCATTAATTTGCGTTTCCCTGTTAGTTAACACTATATCTAAAATATTATTTTCCCGTGTTGGTTCCTTAATGTGTTGCGTAAGAAAGCAATCGTCAATTAATTCTAGAAAATCTTCTGCTTCACTATTCCCTGTTTTGTTCAACCAGTTTATTCCGCTAAAATTAAAGTCACCCATGACATAAATACTGTTAGATCTAGATGCCCTAGATATTTCATCCCATAGATGCTTTGCTTCCATTCTGTCTAAATTTGGTGGCCTATATATTACTCCTATTATAATATTATTAGCTTTTTCGTTTAATTCAATCCAAATAGTTTCTGTGTGTGGCTCTGTTTTGATTCCCTCTTTGAGACTACATTTCAAATTGTCCCTAACATATATGGCTACTCCACCTCCTCGTCTAATATATCTATCTGTGTGAAATAGTTTAAATCCATATATTTGATATTCAGCTAATAGTTCTCTATTTTCTACATTCATCCACGTTTCGGTAAGTGCAATAATATCTATTTTTTCTGTGCAGACAAGAGCATTTAATTCGTTAATTTTATTTCTTAGACTTCTACTGTTAGTGTAATATACCCTAAGTGAATTGTTATTTTGCGGACCTTCTCTTTCCCTGATCGTTTTGCCAATTCCTTTCTCCCACAAACACATACTTTTATTACCTCCTTCCTCCAAATCAATTCCCATACCTCTATCTACTAACAGTTTAAACCCAAACAAACACCTCTAACCACTTCTTCTAGCGAGTTCGCAACAGCAACAACCCCAGCTCTCGATAGATGCACCCCATCACGAGCATACATTTCATTTCTTCCATAGAAGTGTTCCCAGTTGTCTATGAAAGATATTGCATTTGATTTGCAATATCTTTCCAGCCGGCAATTGACACCAAGTGCCCTCGATATCCATTCATTTCCCACTCCCTTTCTTGGAAGAATGCCACATATGATCGGGATTCCTCCCTTGCTCCTAACTAACTCTATGGCTGTTTTATACCTCTGAATCAGTTCCTCACTCCTGACTCGACCAACATCATTTCCTCCCACGCTAATGCAAATAATGGGATTGTTCCCATTACCAGCCATAATATCATTCATGTTGTTTATAATATCACCAATGCCAGCTCCGGGATAGCAAACCCTTAACCTGTTCCCCCTATCTCTAGCACAAAACGTTCTATCCAAATACCTTATCTGGGAATCTCCCACAACTAATGTTTGCTTAGGTACTTCCTTTACTTTCTGAGGGGCCTGCGCTTCCTTTCTCTTCGTTGCTTTCCCTTTTGCGCGATCCACAGTCTCTCCACAGCACTCGTCCTCCAAAACGTCAAATGAATTTGAAGTTGCTATGGCGTTTGAAGGCGGCTTTATCAAAGTCTTCTTAAGGCCCCTGTCTTTCGCAACTCTCCAAGACGAGGTCCCTTTACTGCTGGTCTCCTCCTTCGTTACTTCTCGTTGTTTTTTAAGCTGACGCACCTCCTCCCGCAGAGAGTCCAACTCTGTCCTCAGGGCTCCCACTAGAGTCACCAGGTCCTTCACTACAACTTCCATATTGCTATGATAATATAACAACACTCAGGAGCTCCGGTTAACACAACCTCTCACTGTGACTTCACCTGACCGACGAACGTCCGAAGTGTCCGAACGTCTTCAGTCGAGTCGTGTGTTAGCAGTTTTTCATTCATAAACACGGGGGTTTGGCAGATGTATGGGAATGGACTTTGGCCCTTGTTTAGGAGGCAGCCTGTCCTGAAACAACGGCCAAAGACATTCCATGCAGCCGCCAAACCCGCTGTTTATGAATGGAAACCGTTTACACACAACTGATGACGTTCAGACAATTCTCAAATAAGTGCTTCGCTGATGACTTTTGTTTAAACCACAATGCTGTAAATGCTTTAACCATGTACCAGTAGTACAAATAATTGCCAACAGAATCTGAACACCTAGCCTAACCAATGCTTAAAAATACAGTATGCTAATACGTAATTTATATTCGAGAGAATTCCTGTTTAGAATGAACAGGATGTTAAAACTGATGAATGCGTCTTTGGGGTCCAGCACTGGATGGAATGGACTTGGTCTGAGGATGGGTTGACATACCCTGTAAGAGCTAGCACGAGCTCTGGCCAATGTTGAGGTAGGCAATAACGCCGACAACTTGCAAGAAGGTCAGCACCAGAATTCTTTTCCACTTCCATAAAACTGGCAGAAAAAAAATAATTATAAAGGAATAACAGCTTAATAACTTTTTTCTTTGCCAATTAAAGAAGATTTTATGGAAGATCTGACATTTTAGACAAATTAATATTTTTTGTAACATAACTAGGTAACTAAGTGAAACCAGCTCCATCAAATTTGGCTAGGACAGATAACTAGGTAACTAAGTGAAACCAGCTCCATCAAATTTGGCTAGGACAGTCTTATAATAATAGTAATAACTGACATTAAACAACAGAATAACATGGTAGTGTGAAATTGTCTACCCAGACACACTCACCTGATCACAAACACTCGACTGTAGTTGTACACCAAGTCGCACTCCAGCAGACGCTTTAGTCCTGCAACTACAAGTCTCGTCCTGAAGTCTGTGTCCACACTGCTCACCTCCAGTGCTGTTGAAGCAAGAATAAAAATAAATAAACCTGTCCATTACTTTGTGATTTCATAACCATTCTACTTGATACACAAACCTTCACCTGACTCATGCTTCTGCACACACACCCAACCACTTGGACTGGTATAGACCGACTGCCTCATTTCTTGCACATCAACATGCAATCCCAAACTGTTCAAGTGGTCAAGCACCATCCTTTACTCCATTCTCTTATGCAAAGGATGATACAGTCCTTGTTTGACACTACGACTTTCATGAGAGTAGACAATATAGAAGACCCTACAATCTCATGTAAATAATGTCTTCCAATGACAGACATTTATGATTAAGATAACTTTCAGCTCCTGCACTGGGGAAGACATGAAATTATAATGGAAACCACAAAATAGCCAAATAACACTATACAACAACAAAAAATATAAAGGATCTGGGAGTAATTAAAGTAGACAATAAAGTAGCTATCATGACTACAATTAAAACAGGTTGGAAAACGAGCACCTTTCAGCAGACACCAGTGCTCTCTAGGGCTGAGAATAGGGAAATTGCTGGTACAAAGATTCTAGGATTCCACTCTATAACATCACACAAGACCAGGAGGCATGGCAGCATGTGCTAAACAGCCCCCCACTGAAAGACACAGGTGCAATAGGTACACACACAACTATCAACAAGAAAAGCCCAACACTTTTCAACACACACTGCACATAACTCGCTGGCTTCTCATGGTACTCAAAAGAATTTGATGAACACCCCAAAGGATATATGATCAACCAGGCCAGATGGCTGCCACATCCAACAGCCAGGTTGACCAGGAGACCTGGTTAGAACTGGGCCGCTGGAACGTTAATTCTTGGAATCGCCACAAGGTACCCTAAATCTTAGTCATCATATACCTTCCAAGCGCTATATAGTCATAATTGCTTTGTGCTTCTTGTAATTACCTAATGTAATTACCTAATGTTGTTTCTTCACCAAACTCATCCTTCAAACAATGTTCTTATGGTGGACACCTGGCCCAACCTCATGGACAACCAGAAGTTGGTAACCACAACACAAGGCATTCACTCTTTAACAGCCTCATTCCGACAGCTGTGCAATTCTCGAACACATCACTCCAGCATTCATTCATTCCTTGGCTGACTTGCATTTGTAAAATGTTCTCTCAACATGCAGACATGTATGAATCAAGTCAACAAACCATATGAAGGCTCCGGCACACAGCTGACCCCTGATTCATCCCATACATAACAAATTTAACAACAAACCAGTTTTATTCCTAATGAAACACTAATACCATAAAATTATAAATTTCTACAGTCAAGCTTCAGAAGAGCTGATGTTAAAATAACAGTGTTTAAATATGGACATCACTTCCCTTGTTAATGCCTAGTCTTAACTTGAAAAGATAAAGCAACCAAAGAGATGGAGCAATAAACTGAAGATGATTGAGGGAAGGCATTGGGAATATAGATACTATACAGATTAATAAAATATACTGTATATATCATACTGAATACCAAAACATACCTGCCTCATCTTCCAATAATGTGTGAAATAGGTCTAATACTGCTGGGGATAATAGCAGTACCACTTTCACTTTGGAGGAGGTCGACATTGTCTGCAGCAGCCACTGGCTCGGGTCGGCTATCATTTCCATACCATTTCCTTCCAAGACATCATATACCTGTAATATTAATAAAATTATTAACCAAAGACAATACTAGTAGTAATATAAACACCATCTTCAATTGCAAGTAGGCCACGTGAAGATTATCTACTGTGATGGTCTAAGCCTAATCACTTTTCTTCCTATTAATGAGCAACATCATATAAATATTTAACTTTTCTTATAAAATTTGGTGTGGTATTATGACTTTTTGCTGCTAGGATAATTAATGTTGCACTCTACCTAGCTTTTAAGCTTCCAGTTACTTGTAACATTTAAGTTCCTTCACCTGACACTGGAGACGTGCTCTCAGCTGTGTAACGAAGTCTGAACCATCGTGTGTGGAAGGTGTCGAGTCCCTGGCTCGTAACACAAGCACTTGTGGCTTATTCTCTGCCCCACCCCTCACAACAACTCCAATACCTGTCGGGAAATGATTTTATTCACAAGGTTAATTGATACTGTTGGCTATTTTATAGCATTCGTATATAATTTACATTCATATATCTTTTACTATCATAACAAAAGTTCAATAGCATAAATAACTATTTTTTTTTAGTTTTAAACACTATTAGAATACATAGTAAGATGCTAAATACTGTACCTATATCTAGAAAATAGACAGTGTCTAAAGTAGGAAGTAGGAAGCCTGGGTTAGCTTGCCCAACGCTCCACGATTACACATGGGGAAATGCGCCACTCAGAATTAACTCTCCACTACCACCTTTTAAAACCATCAGCATCTATCTTGAGGTTATCTAGAGATGATTATGGGGCTTAGCATCCCCGCGGTCCAGTCCTCGACCATGCCTCCTTTTTGTTACAACCCCCAGGAAGCAGCCCATAGCAGCTGTCTAACTGCTCTTCAATAATAACAGGCTAATAACTACCATTTCAACCACTTCCTACTGGATGAGTAACAAAGACATTAGAAAATATTTGCCAAGCCAAGAAGCCCATATAGCACTGTGCATTTTATAGAATATTCAAGTTCCTAGATATCAATCAAGTTGCCAAAACAACAGCATAAAGATACAAGATGAGTGATGTCAAAGGAATTGGATCCACACAGAATGTTATCCAAGGACATCAAACTTTAAGGAACAGTGAGAAAGCAAAATATCTGATCACCCTGAAAATCTCAACATTTTGCAAGGAGGTGCTCCACTGTTAGCAGAACAGTACAGTTCTTTATACTGCTGGATTGGGGCGAGGTGCATCATAGGAAAATTAAAATTATATCACCACAAATATAAATTGTTTACTTTGAAGATCAATGGGGTCCAGCACCAAAATCCATTATGTGTTTCCAATCTTATATTTGACACAACATACAAGGTGTTGTGTCTGACACTGTGGTATATGACAGCAGCAGGCCCACCATGGTGCATTCAACACCACTATACACCAGCAGTGCTGCCAGTGTGTTGTGTCTATCTCCAGAGATAAATATGAGTTTCAACACCCGCCATTATACACCAGAAATGTAAATGGTAAATGGCCACTTCAAACCTGGCCAAATATCCTTATAAACTAACAGAGAAGCATTTTCCACACTCACCTACAGAAGCAGAATGCCAGCATCGTCTCTTGTAAACAACAGAGGTGACACCCGCCATCACCACTGCTGCCACCACAACCACCACCGTCACCAGCGGCATCACCACCACCATTCCCTCCAGTGCGTTCTCACTGCAACAGTTATTTCACTTCAATAATATGTCAACAGTTTACCAAGTTTAGTGCAATTACAATTATATATTGATTTCTTACCTCAACAGCCACATGAGCAGAAACCACAGCAGAAATTAACTGTATTTTCATTGACAAGATACAACATACAGCATAGCAAATTCATTACAGAACTGGAATTTGTGTACTAGTGTGTGTATTGGAACTTATTGATTTACACTCTGGTTACACTTTTAGCGTATGTGTACAGGACAAAACTGTTTTTTGTTTGATTTGCAAGGCTTGAATTATTGCTATGATTCTGACTCTGAAATTGGAGGCAATAGTTGGTAAAACTGCACTATTTCAGTATTATTTCTAACGATGACCACAATGACACCAAATTTGAATCATTGCTATATTTCTCAACTTGACATTTTTAATACCTTATGTGTATTTTGTTTCCATGCTTTTCATTCAATTGGACACTGTCGTATCACCTCTCATTCTTAGCCTCTCGAGAGTGTAACCTGAATGCTCTTATCTTTGTAAAGAAGAGTCCCGATGCTGGGCAAAATCTTAAGACATCCTTGTCTAGATGATTTATCTCCATTCCATAAATAGTGGCCAAAAGTGCAAACTACAAAAGCAAATGCTTTCCAGATCAATGGAAATTTGTAATATGAAAGTCTGTATTTCTATTTATATTGCAATACATTATTTGCAAAACTACATCAAATAAAAACATTGCATTTACTTTACTGTATTATGTAGACTCGGATAGCTAGAGAATAAACTAACATGTACCTTACATAACATGTAAATAATAACATGCTACTATTTAACATGTCATTCATTGAGCTAATTTTGAGTTCTAATTTTTTTTCCCAAGCTAAAACTTGATATATTTGATGAGTAAATGTTCCAGGACAGACCCCTGGAACATAGTGGGTCTGTCCTGGAACAATGGACCCCTGGAACACAGTGTAGTGGGATACACTACACATTTCTAGTGTAACCCACAGTTACAGATATATATGTTCAACCCTGGGTTATATCTGTAAAATGGTTGGACATTCAAATTTGGATACTTGGTCTAACTATACAGCCTTCCACACATGAGCTTGTGTGACCGACACTTCTACACACTGGTATTATTTGACAGATCTAAGCACCATTTTTGGAGGTAGCAGCGTGACACTGGCTGTTAGATTTGCACCTTCACTCACCGTATTGGATGAGCAAGTTCAGTTGGGTTGATGATACTTGGATGACATCCATTCGGAGCTTGAATAAGATTCACTCCAGCCAGCAGCGTGCAATTATAGCCATTGGGGCGGAGCTGCCATACGAGAAATGAACACCTTAGATAAATTCACTCTTGCAAAGGTGAAAGTTTCAGAATGAATAATGACATTTTAGAGGATAAGTGTGAACTAAAGACACATGTTCAGGCAGTACTCACATGAAAGTAGTAACATTTGTTAGCAAGGAACTGCTCTTGAAGCTCCAAAAATGTGCTGTTCCCAATATCTGTCTTAATCGTCTCTTTACACTGCTGAAGATTGAATTCATCTTCAGAGCGGCACTGTAGTATAGTCACATCCCAAGATCGTACTCGGGAGTCTGATCTCAGAGCAAGTTTCAAACCTGTGACGCTGAAAGTTAATTATTACATCAGTTTTAGTTCAAGAATATTCCTGTAATCATAATAAGAAAAAGGTTTTAATTGTAGAAATATGCACAGACACAACTTGTATAATACATTTAAATTTGCATTGTTCTAAATCACTGTTAAATGAAAGGGACTGCTCCTTAATGTAAGCTGGTTGAACAGAGCTCATATTGATTAAGTTATAATTAATTCTTCTTCTATACCCAAAGTAAATATACTGTAATGGGATTATTTACATTTATTTGCACTTATTATTAATAAGTTTACACACCTGTAATTTATGAACTAATATTCTTTCCAGAGTATGCTAACCCCCCTAATGTCCTAGAGTATTGTGTCCGTCAATGTCCAAGTGTGTATTGTAACAGCTAATGTCCTAGAGTATTGTGACCATCAATGTCCTAGAGTATTGTGTCCGTCAATGTCCAAGTGTGTACTGTAACAGCTAATGTCCTAGAGTATTGTGACCATCAATGTCCTAGAGTATTGTGACCGTCAATGTCCAAGTGTGTATTGTAACAGCTAATGTCCTAGAGTATTGTGACCGTCAATGTCCAAGTGTGAATTGTAACAGCTAGTGTCCTAGAGTATTGTGACCATCAATGTCCAAGTGTGTATTGTAACAGCTAATGTCCAAGTGCACAACGTAACCCCTAATGTCCTAGTGTGAATCTTAATCATTATCCTAGTGTGTACAAATGTCCAAGTGTATATCATGTGCTTCAACATGTCAAACTGACTTTTAATAAACTCAAAGAAGATATTTAATTCTTACTAACAAATATACAGTACTCGAATGAGCTGTAAAGAGGCCTGGTCTGGGAATTACCTGCAAGGGATGGGCTTGCTTCTCCAGCATCTTAATTAGCCTACCTATACACAACTTTCTGCTAATTTTATTCAACGGGTATTGATAAACCTTATAAAAATATAAGTTATCTTCTTGGTAGACTCCCATTTTCTTTTGCCAGACTTTGTGGCAAAATCAGGTCGGCAACTATGAATCTTATCGTTAAGCAATGGTTAAACTTTCATCACACTCGGGTAAAGTTCAGGCCTAAAAAGACTCATACGCGTAAATTTCCTTAGAATTGTTGCCACAGAATGCCAGCATAACCTAACTACTTTAATTAGTAAAGATAAAAAATTAAAATATTAAGACTACTCAATAGATCACTCGACAGAGCTACTGCATCCTCACACACAAGAGATCCACGATTTCCAAATCAATCATAAAGCAAATCTAAATGAACCATTCAGTTTCCTATTATCAGTTAATGATGCAGTAATGCAAAATATGACAAAAATATAGGGAATACAATGCTACATTTCTAAATTTCAAACAAGCATACCAACTGCTCAAGGTGAGATTGGAACCAGTGCAACACTTACTCAAATAAATCGAAGAAGACTTCTACCGAGATGTGGTCATCGTGTCCCAGGACCTGCTTGGACAAGGTGTGTCTGACCTCCAGCACCTGACACCCTGCTACTGCACACAAGAAACCCGAGACCTGAAATACAACAGCAACCAAGTAATAAAAATCAGGAGGAAAGACAAACAGAACACTCACATATCCACACATCCTCACCAACCCAACTCCAAACCCCATACACAAATCAGGATGGAACACAGTGAATGGAAACTATCTTTCTGTGGTACAGTAATTAGAAAAAGACCACTAGTTAATATAATACCAAACCTACACAGAGAAATCACATTAACGTAATGTATCAAAGAACAAATCCACAGGAGCCTTGATGAGGGTTCGAACCTATGCACCAAGTGTTCCCAGATGCGCCGTAGTCAACTGTCCCACGACACGGTCAAGTGTCGTGTCGTGGTACAGTTGACTAGAGTGCGTCTGAGAACACTCGGTGCAGAGGTTCGAACATTGATCAAGGCTCCTGTGGATTTGTACTAAAGCAAACTTCGGAGGTACATATAAATAGGATAAGATCAGAAGCATACTCTATGCTGACAAGTCAGATTGTCATTCAGGATGGTAAATAAGGAGGCCTTCAGACCACTGTACACCACCTACACGACTCCACGCCTACAGTGGACCCCACCTCAAAAAGCACACAAGAAAAATTATGAAGTTACAGAGGTTTCCACCATGATTTTGCCCAGAATTACATAAATGGGGGTATAAAGAATGATAGAGCTAACATTACTAGAAAATAGGAGAGTGACAGAGGAGACATGATAGACATAATTAAGATGGATTACAGACTACCTCCTTCAATTTGAATGTTCCAACTTCTTTATTATCTTTGCAGCTCAAAAGTCTTGCCTTCCATGTCTTGTTTTCTGAAATATAAAACATGTCTAATTATACACTTATTTAAATGATGATAATGCTGTTATTAATACTAGAAATTATACTAAAAAATATATACATATTAATGATAACAGTAATAATAATATCTAGTGAAACATTTCCCACTTAATGAGTCAAGCAAGTAATATAAAACACAATTTTAGCTTGCTAAATACAGTACTGGACTAGAATTTTACCATACTGCATGTTTTCTTTGCAAGGGCATTATTGCTGTTGGTTTGACCATAGAAGCAAGACACATAACAGACCTAAGGAACATCTCGGCTCCTCCAGTAGGTGCAACCTGTACCAGAAGCCAGAGGTGAAGGTACTGTTGTTCTCTGTGATGCTGATCTCCTTCACGCAAGACTTCCCTGAAACACAGATACTGGTGTTCCAAATGGCATCAAATTACGGCCCTAATACCAGCCGCTTCTCAGGAATTGACAGTCATAAAATATGAAGACGTTAACCCCTAAAAGAATCTGAGAAACCTAGGCTCCAAACTTTCTTAGCGTCAAGATGTCAAATATTGGAATATTGAGACAATGTTAACATATGAAGGTTCTAAGGTGGCTTTCAGTTGACAACACAATATGCCATATAAAGAAAACAAATATTAACTAATGCACCCATAGTTTTATTACCAGGTACTAAAAAAATATATATTTATCTCATGATCCTGTTGTCAGGAAGTGTGGAAATGAGATCGGCATCCTTGTGGCACTCAACAGGAAGTTCACACAATATTAGAATTTTATCATTTTTACTGTAGCTTCTTATCTGATCCAGTACTCGGCACAGGAAGATTCAATATCAACAGTCTTGATATTGAGCTGTAAGATTTTATATTATGAAATAAAAACAAGCAGAAATTGTTAAAAATTGAAGCCCGAGATGGAAACAAACACTTAATTTAGCTCGCTGTCTACCACAGTGGCTTCGATCCTGGCCTCCCACCACAGTAACTTCTGACCCGGCCTCCCACCACAGTAACTTCTGACCCTGCTCCCCAAGGTCTATAATGTGTATCAGGAATGTATCTCTCTCTCCTGAACATCTGGTTTACTCCTCTCTAAACACCTTCCTCCACTTTTCAAAAAAACAAAATTCATCGAGCAATACCCACCATACATAATACATGTACAGTACTTACGTTTCTTGGGCTGCTGTGTAACACTAGATGCATCGAGAGCCCACAAGAGTGAGAGGTACAGCAGCCACCTTGCTGACATTGAGCAACTTTCCAAAGTGTCTGAGGGAAAATTAAGCAATGTATCACACTGAGAAGCCAAATTGCAGCTACTTGTTCTATCTCAAAATTTTAATATTTGAAGGCCTATTTGTTGTATTTAATTAGCACAAAACAAAATGTAGCATATTATGCTGCTTTGGATGGAATTCTATGGAAGCTATCTTATTTCATTAAGCACTTGGGTAATTCTAGTCATATTCCTCAAAAATATACAAATATATATATATAAATATTCCACCACTTTAATGTCTTTGGAGTAATGAGATGTTATTGAGCCAACATATTTATCAACAGTGATATTATTTGTATCATATAAATCATTCTCATTATCTTACCTAATGTGTGGAGCGAGGGAGCACGAGTGCTGCTTGGAGAGCAGCTGAAGCAGCACTGAGATAATGTGACGCACCACCAAATAAGGACTTGGCACTACGTCATTTGGATGACATTTAAATTTATAGTGTATACTTCCAGGAGTGTGTGTAATAATGTTTGTATGCATTGTAACACTGGAGGGAAATGTTGCCATTGTAACATTTGCCACAAACACTGCAGCTACCACTGTAACCTTTATGATAACAAAGTACTGTTGTTATTGTACAACTATGGTAACACTCACTGTAATGGTTGCTTTAACTTTTATGTAACTCTTTAGACTGCAATAATTGCACTGATATAACCCCAAATAACTGGAAGAGTCTGCCCTTGCAGCAGAAAATGCTCATCCAGTTAACAGGGGGGAGGAGGGGGAGAAATGACCAAGATGTTAAAAATATCTTTACAATTCTTACAAACCAGATGGAAGATAAGGTTACTTATAAACAATTTAAGATCCAACTCTCAGAATTAATTAAGGGAAAATATATAAAATATCAGGAGAATAATTTACAGTAACTTTACTCACTGATGCAAATTAATCAATCTCTAAGCTAGTGACATGCTATCCTTAAGAGGCATCGTAATAGACTACTAATTGTACAGGGAACTCAGACAATTACCTTTATCAACTGCTTCCTCAGCCCAGTCAATTTTGTAGGCTCCGTGGTAGACCACCCCGCCCTCCCATCCCCTCTCAAGATCCAACCCATTCTCCTGTTCAGATAGTTTTCGTAACAATGTGCACCGTAGTACAAAGATTGCCATTCTAAGCAATTAAATAGTAGAACTTTGTACTATTCACTTTATAGTTAGAAAAAATGAAGCTAAAAAAGAAACTTAAATAGTCCTAGGCCTAGTATAGCACACATATGTACTATATTAAGCCTCAGATATCGCGTATTAGGCCTAGGAAGGTTAGGTTAGGTTAGTTTGTATTCGCAACATAAGTAGAAAATAGTTTTCCGGTTTGTACAACTCAATGGTGCCGATTTCTACTCTCTAATTTCATTGTACGTCGTCATATATACTATGGTCCTCATCGTTACTATAAGTACTACCACAACAGGAGGATGGGCTGCAAGATCACACTAACTGTCTTTTGTCTCATATGCTTCAAGGAAGTATGGGCTCCACCCACTCTCCTGCTATAGAAAACTCCACCCCTCTCTAGGCATATATCCAATCAATCTGAACTAAGCATAGCCCCTGGCCTATATGGATCTTGGCATATTACAGCATTCAAAAGTTTGCCTAACATACTATACTTGTGTAAAAATATATCACAGACAATGGTGTGAGGTGTAGTGGTGAGGGATTAATAGAAACAGTTACCAATTTACATTCTGTCACCAACTACTGGTAGGGTTTACCAGTTCCAGATTTTGTCACCAACTCCTGGGGCTAAATTCACGAAGCGGTTACGCAAGCACTTGCGAACCTGTACATCTTTCTCAATCTTTAGCCACTTTGTTAACAATTATTACAGTTAATGAGCTCCAAAGCACCAGGAGGCTGTTTATAACGATAACAACAGTTGATTGGCAAGTTTTCATGCTTGTAAACTGTTTAATAAATGTAACCAAAGCCGTCAAAGATTGAGGAAAGATGTAAACGTTCGTAAGTACTTGAGTAACTGCTTTGTGAAACTGGCCCCGGGTAGGGTTTACCAATTTCAAGTGGGGTTTTTTGAAGGTCAGAGGTCCAGGTCAATTACATCATGATTTAGAAACATTTTTCTAGGTATGTGGACTCAGGAAGCTTATCGAGTTCACTAGTGTGTTTTCACGATGCTTATTGCATTCTACGATGTATAATCAATCATTTATCATAGCCAGAGAGTTAAAAAGAATCTTCCATAAATGTTGTTAATATTTAGTTTTATTGTCAAAATCAATAACATTGTAATCTGGAATACTCTTTCTTGAAAAAAAATTATGAGTAAACATATACATATAAAGCAAGTATAATTTGTATACAATTAGCTTGATAAAAACACAGTATTATACATGTCAAGCATTAATTTTGTACAATTCTTTCACTAGGTCTTTTCTCCCTCCACCTGAGATCACGGTATGGGACTCTTGCCCCCGTACTTCTACCGCGACCTCTCTTTACACCACGGCCACGACCACGACCACGACTTCTCAAATTTCTCTCTTCCCTCATAGCTCTAATGGATCTGGTCTTGTAAAGGGACCTGAGTTGAGGTAGTACTTCTGCAAACTCATTTTCTACTTCATTTGTAAGTGACTGAGCCATCCAGACTATTGCAGCTAAAAGAGTAATATAAAAAGAATATGTAAGAGAACATGTCAGAAATTAAATACATAAAAGTATATTTCATGTTATTGTACAAGAATTTATACCAATACATTTCATATTAACACTACTGTGTCCAGTGATGGAGATAACAGGTTTCTCACTTTTGGTATCCAGCTTATTCACCTCTTCACACATCACACTAATACACTCGATACATTCATACACAGACCACACCACATTTCCCATTCTACACCAAAATTTCCCCTGCACTCTGCCCACACCAACACAAACACACCCATCACACAGCTAGAAAATTAGGTCAGAGCTCTCCAGACAAGAATCAAGATATCTTGCTGACTGATGCAGGGGCAAATATATGGAAGTAATGCATGTTGAAGATAGGACAGATCAAGACAGAGATGGTGAGTGAATGTGAGAGAAAGCAGGAATCAAGTGTGAACAACACATGAGAAATGTTAGCAAATAAAACTATAGGAAAGTTGAGATACTGTAGTGAATGTCTGACATTTTTCAATTACAACTTTGGAAACACTTTACACCTGTTGTATGAAACAGTGGAGATGCTGCTGTTGATGCCCCCCCCCCCCCTCTCCATTGAAGTGGAAAATGGAGGTAATAACAACAAGGATCAAATAAACAAGACAAACCTTCAATCTGTCGATCACCAGGTTGCAAGAAGAAAGGTTTTGTCTTTACTCGAGGTTGTGCAACAATCTTGGGTCGAGGGGGTATTACTACTGGTGCTAGTAATTCTTCTCTTTCACTTTCATCTCTCTCTAAAAAGAAAAATGCAAATTATGTTCTGTATCTTGGCAGCAAGGGGCTTGCATGTAGTGGGTAGATGAAAGTGTAAGGAAGGTGGTAGGGTGAGCAGATGGGGCAGATGAATGAATGTGTAAGGGAGGTAGTAGGGTGAGTAGATGGGGCAGATGAATGAATGTGTAAGGGAGGTGGTAGTGGAGGTGGCATGTAAGATTAGCTCAGGTCAGGTGATTGTTAGGGTGGGAAAGGGAAATGACTTGTCTCACATTTTTATGTCATTATAATTTGGAAAAGGGGCAGAGTCAGGGCGGAATAGAGGTAAAAAACATGAAACTGTGCACATATTATCGGTGCATATCACAATAAAAAGAAAACCACCATAACTTTCATACTTTTCCAGTAGATAATTTTAAAAGAATAGTAAACATATTTACAAAGCAATCATCTTTGGTAATTTAAGTGTTACTGTAAATCGCAGATAAACATGACTGAGTGTGATGGAGGACAACATCACATACCCTCGACACACAGTCTCAAGTGGGGGGAAAGATGCCATGAGAAACTTCGGAGAATGCACAGCGAACTACAAACGATGCATACTTTGTGAAGAAGCTCATGCTGTAATTTTGCCTGACTGCCCTCTCTGACAAGAGGAATTCAAGAAAATGGAAGAGTTCAGAAAAGTCTTCTCCAGACCACAACTAGTGCCAAAGTTCCACATCCAAAAGACAGCACTCCCTGCTCTACTGACCAGAGCAGAGACCTCACCCAGCAACCAACTGCACCACCACAGCCACCCAGGCAAGAGCAGTACACTGCCCACACTGGTCTGCAAACACTAGACGCATCTACTGCTCCTTTACAACTTTACCGACTACCTCTGCAACAGCACCTATTGAACCTGCAGCACCTCAGGCTCCTGAGACTTCCACCCACTGCTCCTGCAACAATAACCACAGCACCGCAAAATCCTAGAAGGCCCGACCAAACATGCAGTTGTATCAGCCAAGACAAGTTTGTGACTATTGCGACACCGACACACTACATCCTGACCTGACAGACCCTGCATACTACCAGTTCTCTCATGGCAGAGCCAACAAGGCTACAGCATACAGAAGTCAATCCTGGACGACAACAATGAGGAAGAACGGAGACACCTCCACCAGCAAGAAAGAAGATAGCAGCAGCAGCATGAACAATTGAACAAGAACAAGGGAAGCATACTTACACTACTGCCCCCTGAACATCTCCAAGCTCACTGAACCGCCGATCAATTCAAGAATCGCCGTGCAAGCTGGGTCAAGCCAGGCTCTCTTCTACTGACTGCAACCCCTCTCTCCAAGCTATTCTTCAGCTATACCCACTCAGCCAGTCAATATATTTTTACTATCATATACTGTACAATCTATACATATTCTATGTATCTGTCTACTTTTTATTTTGTTTACTAACAAATTAAGTTGTACATATATACAGTATTATAATTTGTAAATGTTTGCTTAAAGTAGTAGAGCAATTAATTATCAAAGAGCAAGCAATTATCAAAGCAATTAATTCTGCTAACTTACCTTCACTTATGTGTTGAGAGAACTGAGCCAGTAAGCTGAACCCTGAAGAACTCTTGCCAAAGTTGAGATCTTTATCCACTTTTACATACTTTTTCCCTTCCTCTCTTTCACTTATCATGGTTTGTTTTGCCTGTAAATTTCAATGAAGGCATTAAGGATTTTTAATAATGTGCAGGAAAAACAGAAGATAAAATTTGCAAATAATGTTAAGAGTCAATCCTGAGTTGCATCGATTTGCAGGACAAAATAGGTAAATACGAAATGTGCATAAATGCAAGAACTGCATGGTAAAGCATCACTTATCTACAATGGTATGGACCAGCAGCGGCTGTGTGGATCTACAACTACGGTGTAGACAGTTCCTTTATGACAAACAAGTTACGTCCTAAGAGCACGAGCGTAAAGCAGTTGTTCGGAATGCAAAGCAAGATTTTTCATAGGCTAAATACTATAAACGTTGCCTGCGTTCCCAGGCAACCAAAAATCCTCACAAAACCAATATTTTTTGGAACAACAAAACTGGGAGATGATTTGAGATTAACTATATTTTTCTATCCAAAAGGTGTTTCTGTCAACTTTAATCTTTCACAGGAAAAACACAGCTTGAAAAATATCGTATTTACAATGTAGTTACAGTATTTACAAGCGATAATATATGAAAAAGAAACTGCAGAATTTTCCAGCCTTGTATGAGTGTTAAAAAGTACATTTGTCTATAAATATCATCAGCGTTGGCTCATGCACATTTTATGAATGTCACAAATTTGCTTGTAACATCTGACTCATAAATGCATTAGCTTGCATAACTTCAAAAGTGTCGATAAACAATATCTGCTCATAAAGTATCATTAAATAAACAATTTATCACGTATACTGAATAGCAAATATTATATAGCATACTGAACAGTCCTCACCTCTTGCTCTTGTGATGATGGAAGTAGTTTATTTGATATAGAGCCCTCAGCACCATCATGTCTGGAAGTATTCAAATATTTAGCCATCTTCTTGAGATTATCTTGAGATGATTTCGGGGCTTTTTAGTGTCCCCGCGGCCCGGTCCTCGACCAGGCCTCCACCCCCAGGAAGCAGCCCGTGACAGCTGACTAACACCCAGGTACCTATTTTACTGCTAGGTAACAGGGGCATAGGGTGAAAGAAACTCTGCCCATTGTTTCTCGCCGGCGCCTGGGATCGACCCCAGGACCACAGGATCACAAGTCCAGCGTGCTGTCCGCTCGGCCGACCGGCTCCCTATCAGCCATGTCAATATCAGCTTATAAAGTAATACAGTACAGTATATAGTATTTACAAAAGTAGTCCATTTTAAATCAAAATAAATTTGGTTTATTTTTCTTATGCAATTATTTTTTAAGGTTTTATCATAAACTTTGAAAATTATGAGGTATAAGTCACATTTACAGTATAAGTCACACACCCAGGAGCATCAGGGTGAAAGAAACCCTGGCCATTTGTTTCCGCCTCCACCGGGGATCGAACCCGAGACCTCAGGACTACGAATCCGAAACACTGTCCACTCAGCTGTCAGGCCAATTGGTATCATAGTACCAAGGTACTATGGTACAATTGCTCAGGGAAGCAATTGAGGGGGCCCTTGGTCAAACAATGGCAGGAGGCTTCCTGCTCTATATTCAACGTGAATATTTTGAATGAGCTTATGGATAATTAAAAAAGAAGAAAGTTATTAAAAATAATCAGTTCAATTACATCAAAACAAGAAATAACTTTCGTCGCGGTGGTAATTCAAGATTCAGGCTCTTATGGTGAGGTGATGACTTACTGTAAAGTGGTAATGAGGGGGGGTGATGATTTTGATAGTAGTGGCTACTGATTGATTGATTAATTGACTGATAAAGATTAAGCCACCCTAAAGGTAGTATGGGCATGAATAGCCCGTAAGTAGAGACTCTTTCGAGCCATTACTAGTGCCAATAGCTGATACTAGAGATCTGGGATGGATGGAGGTCTTCATGGTGGATTTCAGCCTCGGTGGGCTGGCTATACAAGTTATGGAGCTGGTGGGTTAGTGTAAACCTCTAGGTCTTCCGTTTTTAAGTGGCTACTGAGGAGTTGTGGGAGAGCTTAAACAATTTTCATGAGCTGAGTATAACCCAATTTTGTTTTTAATAAAAGCTGCAGCTTATACTCATACAAATACAGTATATTTCCCAACTGCTGTGAAGGACTTACTTGAGGTTGGTGAAGCACCCATCTGAGGCTTTTAAATCAGCCAAGCTCTCTACCTGAGCCTGGTGATCATCTTGGACAGTCCCTGTATTATGGCCATCATTCACATGTTCACCAACCCTCATATTGGTCTCGTCTCTTTTCTGAAAACAATTCAAGCATGCAGCCAATTTAGTGACAAAATTATAAGCCAAAATACAGTACCTGGTGATAATACAGAAAAAAACGAACTGAAAATTCTATTACATAGTCTATGAACAGCATAAAAACATGAAGCTTACAGGGCTATAAAAAATGGGCAATACAGTATAGAACTATAAACAAAAAATATGAAACACTTGGATTTTGTTAAATCCAAGCGGTTCATATTTTTCATAAATCACCTTCATCTCTTGATAAATCTCTAGCAGAACGAACTAGACTTTCAATACATTTTTATGCTTAAAGTAAGAAATTAAGTACAACCTGGCCTAACCTCTTTCTTTCTGGCTTTCTTGCTGGCAGATGCAACTGGTTCCAACTTGTCAGGTTCCAGATCAATGAAGAAGCCTTCATCACTGCCAGCCATCACGTCCCCAACATCAGCGTTACTTTTGTTCTGGTCATTTGTGTCGTCATCAGAATCGGCCCACACCGAGCTAAACTTTTTAAAGCTGGACATCATTTCCTCTTCAGCTTTATGTTTCTTTTTTGACTTACATTTTGCTGACATTGACTGCTCAGGTTCAGCAGCTGAACTGTGATCTGTGCTTCGTCTCTTTTTCTTCCTCTTCTCCTCCTGAGCATCAACGGTAGGTACGGCATCTTCCGACACCGATATTTCACTTGCATTACTTTCCCTATTCGACGTTTTATGTTTCTTCTTCTTTTTAATTCCCTCCTCCAAAGATGCATCATTCTCGACCTCACAATCTTTTAGTGATCTCTTCACATTAATACTATCATCTTTCTTAACCGGCTTTGTGAATGTGATGGCAGGTGATTTATCTATCTTTTCCTTATGACCAGACTCTTGTTGTTGCTGTTTAATGGAAGCTCTCTCTCTGCTGAGGCGATCTAAGAAACTTTCTTTGGCTGGTTCTACTCTTAGTTGGGACCCTAGCCATGAGCACCCATTCAGCTGCCTTATACCTGGAAGCAGATACAGTAGTGTACTTCAAAAATTATATCAATTTAATAAACAAAATATACAATACTGTCATCATATAATGATTTGTGAAAATCAGTAGAAACCATGAGGATTATAACTAAGAAAATAAGGAAAATAAACAGAGAAAATAACGTTAAATTGGTGTTATTTGTTGCTCGAGTACTTGCCTGGGAGACGAGTTGTGTGTGTGTTTATATCACAGTTACTAATTAGTATCCTGTGTTAACTTGGTTTACCATCTATGTGTTGCTAGAGGAAGGTATAACTGTGCAGTAGAGCGTGCTTCAAGCAGTGTTGTCATTTGCATTCAAATTTCACCGAGTGTTCCAAGAATTTGACAGTCATTCAATTTTGTTGGCCTCTAGCAAGTATGCATTTGTTTCAGTAAATGTTTGGATATTTTATCAATGTGTTTGGTTAGCCTACCTTCACTTACTAAAGTGTTTGCCTAGGATCATGAATGAATATGAATACGTACAACCAATTAATCCTGAACTCAGACTCTAGACCACAGAACGATAGAAAATTACCAGGCGGCAGCAGCAGGCGAGCCTGCCAGATTGGCGACCATTCAGGCGTAGTATTATTAGTGGGCCTTACAGGAGGAGTATTATTAGTGGGGACTAGGCCAGTAGTATTGAGCCCTGAGCAGTGCTGAGAGGAGATTGCAGTACAGGGAATTGTTGGTCTTCTCCCACTCCTCATGGGGGACAAGGCTGGATGTGTGACTACTGTACTTCCATGTATGACTAGGTACCCCTTGCTGATAGAGGCAACATAGAGGAGAAGAATGCCACATTACAGTAGAAAAGAGAGGGGCAGGGGAGGAGATAGCGAGAGATGAGAAGGGAAGAGAGATAGGAAGAAAAAGATATGAGAGGAGGTGGAGATTGGGGGGCAGAAAGACGGTACCCATCATAGTATTTTTATAAGAAATATTAAAATTAAGTTAAATCAAGAAAAAACCCACAGTACTTTACGTTGTAGGAGCAGGAACAAAGCTGCAGTATTACTTACATTCATCAATCTTCGATGAAGGTGCATCTATATTAACATATGAAAATTTCAACATAACATTTCCATCAGCATCAGTTCTCTCCTTTAGATCAATGCCCGACACGGTGCCAAATCGGGACAGCCTCGACCCAAGGGCATCTTCATCAACTTTCTCACTCAGACCTCCGACAAACAAACGTGTCTTTGGCATCGTGAAGTTCTGTACCTACAACAAAAACAAAATTTAGCCCATGAATAATATATTTCACATGCACCATATTACAACTGCTTTAGATATGGTTCGATCCCATATGGGCAATCAACATGTGTAGAGTATTTGCAGATTAAAGGGCAGGGGGGGGGGGCGGTGGTGCAGGATAAACGCATCAATTACCGAATAATCTTGCCCGAAATGCTGTGCGCATTAGTGGCTTTAAGCATAGTATATACTAGCAACTATCTAAAAATCCAACATTTTGCTTGTAACTTAATATGTATCTACTTTCACCTAGATGAAAAATATTTATTTATTGAATTGTGACACTAGCTCTCCCCATGTCTAAATGAATTATGGGGTTCAGTCCCTGAGCCCATTGTGTGCCTCGAACCCATTCCACTACCGCCCACAGGATGGGGTCCACTACCGCCCACAGCATAGGGTATGGGGTCCACTACTGCCCACAGGATAGGGTATGGGGTCCACCACCACCCACAGGATGGGGTATGGGGTCCACTACTGGCCCACAGGATGGGGTATGGGGTCCACTACCACCCACAGGATGGGGTATGGGGTCCACCACCACCCCACAGGATGGGGTATGGGGTCCACCACGACCCACAGGATGGAGTATGGGGTCCACCACCACACCATAGGATGGGGTATGCTTTAAGGGAAGAGTATGCTGTATTTGGTGTAAAATAAATGAATTATACACTCATATCTAACCCAAATTCAAGTTTGTGAAATGACTCGAAGATATTTGATGTCAAGATGTCGCCGTACTATAGAATGGATATAAATTCACTTGAACGTGTCCAGCGTAGGATGACAAAGTTAATTCCCCAAATTAGAAGTCTTTCATATGAAGAAAGATTAATAAAGCCTAAATTGCATTCACTGTCAAGACGAAGAGTTAGGGGTGACATGATAGAAGTTTACAAGTAGATGAATGGACATAACGAAGGGGATATTAATAGGGTATTAAAAGTATCAACTCAAGACAGAACACAAAATAATGGGTATAAATTGGATAAGTTTAGATTTAGGAAAGACTTAGGTAAATACTGGTTCGGTAACAGGGTTGTTGATTTGTGGAACCAATTACTGCGTAACGTGGTGGAGGTGGGGTCCCTCGATTGTTTCAAGCGCGGGTTGGACATGTTTATGTGTGGAATTGGGTGGTTATAAATAGGAGCTGCCTCGTATGGGCCAATAGGCCTTCTGCAGTTACCTTTGTTCTTATGTTCTTAAGACAAGTCGCTCCTCAATTGGCTTTGGCCAAAAACAACAAAATTATCCTAATATTTTATAAAACTAAGCCGTCAAAATACAACACGAGTAGTGTTGTTGTTGTTGTTGTATGGCCACACACACGTGTCCACACATGTGCCTCAACACTTCAGGTGTGTACGCTCTTGTCTGGTACAGTTATTGGTGTCCTTCTTCTTGCTTATGTCCTCGGGGAGTACGGGACAGTGGTGGGACACACCAGAGGGACACAGGGCCAGAGGGACACAGGGCCAGGGAGACACAGGGCCAGGGGAACACACTAGAGGACACAGGGCCAGGGGAACACACTAGAGGACACAGGGCCAGGGGACACACCTCACACCAGGGGACACACCAGGGGACACACCTCACACCAGGGGACACACCAGGGGACACACCAGGGGACACCTCGCTCCACTACCACAACAGTAGCCCAAAGGATCCCAAGGTTGAGTTGCCGCAAATCGCGAGCTGAAGAACTAAAAGTCACAAACTTGACTATAAAAGTAACCAAATATATATTTTTTCGATTGATTCAATTTTCAAAATATACTACACAGCTTATTCTATCAGTAGCCGAAAAAGAGTAGTAAGTAGCGACATACATTCTAGTCTTTTCAATTGCAATACAATTATTCTATCTGGTAACTCTATTGGGCTACAAGTAGCCCAATCTGTGATCTATGTACTTTTTTATTTTATTATTATTATTTTCTACCACAAATGTGGCCACATATTTACAATATTAAACATCATATATATCCCTGCATCACACGTTATAGTTGGCACAGTCCGTATTGCTGAAGATAGCCAGCTTAAGGACTAAAAGTATATCATTTATAATAAACGTAGTCACATATGTTTTTCAGCGGTTGACACGCTTTTATAGAGTACATAATCCAGCTTGTTTTAAAAGTAAGCCAGAAATTGCAAATAGGGACAAACAGCTGGCTTTTTTCAGTGGGCCAAAGCAGTCCATTTGGGCTATAAAGAGCAAATTTGGGCTATAACTAGTGAATTTGGGCTATAAGTAGCGAATTTGAGCTATAAAGAGCGAATTTTGGCTATAAAGAACGAATTTGCGCTATAAAGAGCGAATTTGGGCTATAATAAGCCCATTTGGGCTATAATGAGCCCATTTGGTCTATATAGAGCCCATTTCGGCTATAAGAAGCCCATTTGGGCCACTTGTAGCCCAATTTGAACGGCGGGAGGCAGCGTGACGTCATCAACATGATGCAGCGTTTCAAAATAAATATTTATTTAGTACATAACAATATTAAAAAATTCTATAACCACCCAATCCCACTCATATACTTGTCCAACCCGTGCCGCGTTTACAATCCTGTTATTTCAAAATGACTTTCATATTCCCCCCGGTTATGTCCATTCATCCACTTGTAAACCTCTATCATGTCACCCCTAACTCTTCGCCTTTCCAGTGAATGCAACTTAAGCTTTGTTAATCTTTCTTCATATGAAAGATTTCTAATTTGGGAATTAACTTAGTCATCTTACGCTGGACACGTTCAAGTGAATTTATATCCATTCTATAATATGGCGACCAAAACTGAACTGCATAATCTAAATGGGGCCTAACTAGAGCAAGATATAGCTTGAGAACCACACCAGGTGTCTTGTTACTAACGCTGCGATTAATAAATCCAAGTGTCCGATTTGCCTTATTACGAACATTTATGCATTGATCCTTTTGTTTTAAATTCTTACTAATCATAACTCCCAGATCCCTTTCGCAATCCGACTTCGCAATCACAACACCATCTAGCTCGTATCTTGTAACTCTATCATCATTACCTAACCTCAGAACTTTACATTTATCAGCATTAAACTGCATCTGCCAATCCTTTGACCATTTCAAAACCCTATCTAGATCAACTTGAAGTGATAGTGAGTCCTCCTCCGAATTAATTTCCCTACCGATTTTCGTATCATCGGCAAATTTGCAAATGTTGCTACTCAAACCTGAATCTAAATCATTTATATATATTATAAACAACAGAGGTCCCAGGACAGAGCCTTGAGGCACTCCACTTACAACATTTTCCCACTCTGACTTGATTCCATTTATACTAACTCTCTGTTTCCTTTGGTATAGCCATGCCCTAATCCAGCTTAATATAGCACCCCCAATACCATGAGACTCTATTTTTTTAATCAGTCTTTCATGTGGCACTGTATCAAAAGCTTTGCTAAAGTCAAGGTATACAACATCGCAATCCTTACCACTATCAACTGCCTCAACAATGCTAGAATAAAAAGATAACAAATTTGTTAAACATGAACGGCCATTTATAAAACCATGTTGCGACTCAATTATTAATTTATGTTTTTCAAGATGAAGACGAATTTTATTTGCTATTATAGATTCGAGTAACTTTCCCACAATAGACGTTAGGCTAATTGGTCGATAGTTAGACGCAAGTGATCTATCTCCTTTTTAATACAATTCATTGCAAATATTACAATAGATACACGTTTCACAGCGTTGCCTTAATACACATATAAGGCTTATGGCAATTGCCATATTTTGCTGGAATTATAGGCTATACTTGTATAGATATATACACTGAATTAAGTGTTTGTGTATAAGTGATCTGCAGCGACATTAGTGGAGTTTAGTCTACATCTACAGTCTCCGTGGTGTAGTGGTAAGACACTCGCCTGGCGTTCCGCGAGCGCTATGTCATGGGTTCGTATCCTGGCCGGGGAGGATTTACTGGGCGCAATTCCTTAACTGTAGCCTCTGTTTAACGCAACAGTAAAATGTGTACTTGGATGAAAAAACGATTCTTCGCGGCAGGGGATCGTATTCCAGGGACCTGCCCGAAACGCTACGCGTACTAGTGGCTGTACAAGAATGTAACAACTCTTGTCTATATCTCAAAAAAAAAAAAAAAAAAAAAAAAAAAAAAAAAGTTTCTCGGGACTAGTTACTTTAAAAGGGACCGTTTCCTGTCCGAATGTAAAAATACCAATCATATGTAATCTCGCCAACTCATTGTACCTTCTTGCAAATAAATTATTATTATTATTATTATCATTATTATTATTATTATTATTAATTTTAGTATTATTATTATCATTATGGACTTTAAATTGGTCGTTTCGGGCACGATATGATTCGTCAAAGCTCGTTTTCCGTTTGTTAAAACCGTATATGTTGTTATGCTAGGCCCCATTAGCTTAGGTTAGGCTGTAATAACTTAGATTAAGCTGTATTGGGCTAGTTGGGTTAAGTTAGGTTGAGTTAGATTGGGTTAAGAAGGTTTCAAAAATCCGGTGGTGAATGGTGTTGTTTACAACGCTTACACCTCCGTGGCTGTTGGGTGCGTGTTGGTGGTGTCCACAAGTGTGCCTGTTAGGTCTGGCTCGTTATGTCCGTGTCCGGGGCTAGTTGATTGTTGTTTAGTAGTTAGTATGTTCTGGTGATGGCTGGGGTCCCTTACATACCCTGGGAGGCGGGAAGACAAACTCACGTGGCGCAGTGGTAAAGCACTCGCCTGGTGTTTCACGAGCGCTTGGCTTGGGGTTCGTATCCTGGTTGGGGGAAGATTGACTAGGCTCCAATCCTTAACTGTAGTCTTAGTGGGACATTAAGCCCCGAAATCATCTCAAGATAACCTGGGGTGCTACACAGCCTCCACGGCTTTGTGCCATCTATTGATAATTAATTACTTCCTTTCACCTGGTATAGTTATTTAAGTAACACTTTAGAGCCGCGTTTCTCTTCCGGGGTTCCCCAGAACCCCCAAGGTAACTAGAGGTTCCGCAAGAGGTAGTGATAAATAGGCTAATTCTAACCATATGCAAATTATTTTTGAGTCTTTTTGCATATAATTTTGTTCTCATTTAACCAGTATCAAGAGCAAAGTTAGAAAACGTCTTTCAGCTGGCAATGGAATCAGTGTGTTTATCTAAAGTACAACTGAATAATTTCAAAGTACAAGACGTTTGAGAAATGCTGCTTTAAAAATTCCAGACCCTGTACCTATTATATTAAAATTCACAGATAATGCAAAAATTAATCAGACTTGCAAAGCCTTCTACATGAACTCCACGAGTGATCAGAAGACTAGAAAAGGCTTTTCAACGTTGAACACTGCAATAATAATATAATAATAATAATAATTTTTATTTAGGCAAAGGTACATACATAAAGAGATTTTACAAAGTTTGTTGGCTTTATAGATAGAGCTAGTACATACAATGCCTAAAGCCACTATTACGCAAAGCGTTTCGGGCAGGCAAAGACTTGGCATTGTTCAGTATTGAACAAGGCAAGTCTTGCATTGTGCAAGACGAGGCATAACAATACACATCTTATATCAACAACACTATCAAGCAGCAGATTGGTGAAGAAAATAGGAATTAGGATGCACCAGTTGTTGAAAGTTGCACAAGTTGGAGCTGCAGTAAAAAAAAAAAAATCATTTCACATCTTTAAGTTAAAATATTTTTCAATTTTATTCTTTCAGATACAACTATTTTCTGTTTAAAGAAAATTTTGCTGCTAGCCATAATGAGTCGTCGGCAGACCCCCAATGAATTTCTTCAGCAAATTATTGGCCGTCCTGTTGTAGTGAAGCTCAACTCTGGAGTTGATTATCGAGGTACTGTATTGTACTGCATTTCACTGAAGATTTCATATTTATGCATATTGAACATTTACATTTTTGTTTCCAACCACACTCGGTGTTTTACTTTGTGAAGCAAGATGCTACTGGTCCCATTGGAAGGGTCATGCTCTGTCATGACAAGTCATCATGTCAGATCAGAGCAATAGGGAACTTTTCAGATATACCTGTCGGTACCAGGGAGATGGTAAAGAATGATCAATCATGGCTGGAATGACCTATAAAAGATTAATACTGTATATAAACAGTGCTTCCAAACCCTACTTGGCATCTTTAATTACTTGATGACCCATTTGATCATGTCCCTTGATTGTCACAAGGTGACAGTACCCATGCCACAACAGATTTTCCCGAGAGCCCCCATATTCTTTCCCGACTAGTACCCATGTAAGTTGTAGGTAGGATAAAGTTGTCATACTCAGATGGTTACCAATAATCGACAGTACGGCACAATTCCAGAAATGCAGCCATGATAAAAAAAAATTCTTATGATACATTTGCATCCAAAGAGCAAGGGGAAAATAAAATTGTTCTTGAGTTTCATGCTCACTGAGAGGTTTCAGGTATGCTGTATAGTTATATTGGCCTAGCACTTTCTCCTCATATTATTATATATATGCTGTAATTCTACACTGTCTAATAATTAATTGTTCATTTATTTAGGTGTACTGGCATGTCTGGATGGCTACATGAATATAGCACTGGAACAGAGTGAAGAATACTTGAATGGTCAACTGAAGAACAAGTATGGTGATGCATTTATTAGAGGCAATAATGTCCTTTATATCTCCACTCAGAAGAGAAGAGGCTGATTATTGGAGTAGAATTTTCACATTGCTTGTAATGGACTTTGACAGGTACAAAATGGTGTTTTATTTGTAGCCACAAGTTTGATGTTAAATAATGAAACAGGCTTACAGTATCTCTTTCTGTAAGGGCAGTAAAAAAATTTTTTGTATCAAAGCATTTTGTTCAGGATTTAATTTGTATTTTGTCCAAATAAACTTAAACGTTGTTTAGCTTAAAGCTACACTAAGCATTATTATTTACTTTTGATGACCTGAAAGGCTGCTAATATACTGGAGTATGTACTCCTGGTATTTTCCAACACACACACTGGTGATGTTGTATTATACCTTGGCTATATTGTATTATTCCATCAAGGATCTGACATTATCAGCTCAGCCATGTTCAGAGATTTTTTGTCATGGCTGCAGGACTTTGATTATAGAATAATGTAGCATACTGTACAGTATATATGTTACAGCATTGTTGTTGATGAAAATCAAAATACTTTTGAGTATATATCAGAATACTGTACATGCATTGCCAAAGAAGTCATGCATTTGTATCTGAGTTACTTACATTATGCAAAAGCATTTATTTTTGTTTGAAATAAAAATGATCATTGTAATATTACAATAATACCAGACTGTCATACATATTTGGTTATAATGATTGAGAATAGAGCAGTGGTTCTGTACATCTTTATTTATATGGAAACCTTAAAATGTAATAGTTGTGAGAAAGTAAGTATTGTAATACTGTATTTACAATAATCCCCAACTCGGCTACTTGTTTATTGTAACATTTGAGATACAAGTGGTTACAAAATGATTTTGTAATTAAAAGCTATAATGGATAAAAACTGAATCACTTGCTCACCTTAATTTGTTTGAAATAAACTGCTGCATTATTTGACCTTTTAATTTTTATACTAAATTAGCATTTATCATATATAGCCTCTCATTTCCAATAGTAATTTACATGTTATTATTTACACCTCCCTTCCCCACATGGCGGCTCGAGCCCTCTTTAACTCCAAGGGCAGTCAGGTGTGGCTTATAAAGTCCATCTTGTGCCCAACAAATAGGTACTATATGAAATATACTCACCTATCCAGATTATGATGAATGTTGATAGTACAGTTAGTAGCCAAGCTTCAGAACCCTCACCTTAATAGGCCTGGTACCATGCAGCTGGAGGAGTTTGATTACCATCCTGTGATTGTGTAGTACAGTGAAAACATTATTTTATCAACCCATTCAGTACAAATTTTAACCATCTATCTAGGAAACCTGACCTTTTGATCTTTCCACTTCCACATCTGGGGCAGAGGTATTGCACCTCTCTTGGGTTGCAACACCGAGTCACAATAGATATATTTGCCCGATTCTTAAACTGCATAAAATTGTAACACTTAGGGTTGTGGAGTCGGTACATAAAACTTTTAAAAAAAATTATATATAAATGGAGGAGTCACAGAGTTGAATGATATATAAATGTTCCAAAGGCCTTATTTGGTATTTAGTACAATACTGTTCATAAAAATACAGTATTACAGAGTTACTCAACTGATGTGTTCCACAGATACCAGGTTTAGAGTTAGAGTGCAATATAAACTCAAATCTTTCTCCTTTTGTAGTTTCCAGTAGTTGTCTCCTTTTTAGCCTGTACTCCCCTATCCTTAATACTTTGCATTTGTCCAGGGTGAAGTCTATTTACCATCTTTTTGACCAATGCTGCAGTACACAAGGTCTTCCTGTAGTCTGTCTTCCTTGCTTCCAACTCTCTCTAAGCTTTGCAGCATCTACAAATGGATATGAATAATCCTCTATCCTTTGTCAGATAATTTACACACAGTATATCAAACAATGAGTACCAGTACCAACTCCTGTGGTACCTCATTTGTGACTTACCATCACTGATTTTTCTGCTTTCACCATTATCCACTACTTTCTACATACAAGAGGTAGATTGGCTACTCCCTCCCAAGAGAGAGATTACCCACCCTTGCCCTTCTCCAGTTATACCAGCTTTGTTCTCAAATTTGTATCCTAGGAGCCTTTGGTGCTAGACTGAATCAAACAATTTCAGAGACTAATGTTTCTCTGTTAATAATTTTCTGAAAAGACCTAGGACCATGCATCCGTCACTGGAAATAGTCCCACAGTTGGGTTAAGCACTGCTGGATTTGGCTGGTGACAACAATAGACATAGCTGCGCCCCTTGGCTTAAGGTATCTGAACATGCCATGCAGGAGGTTCCTGTGATGCAAGACAGGTTACCTGACCATATTGAAACTTGTGTATGACACTAAGAAACCTGACAGTCACAATTTGTGTTGTAACTTTCACCATATTGTACCTGAAGTGGGTTTCCAAGAGTTTTAATTCCCAAGATTAATTAATGCCTGGGATCAAGTCAGTCTTGTGACAACTTATCTAAATAGCTGTTTGTTGGTGCGGGCTGCAGGCTCTCGCACCCATTACAACCAGGTCGGTCTGGTACTTCCTGGAAGACTATGGCAAAATAAAACAAATAATGTCACATTCACATTTATGTTCCAGTGTGAAACAATAGAAATACTATAGAGCTTCACTTATAAAGTGGACTAAAACAATCTTCATACCGGCAGGAAGCATACGGTTTACAAACCAGTATTTTCCTGTACAATACAATTAATATACATGTACTGTATAATTAAACATAATATGTTTAAGTTAAATATAATAAATATAACATTTAATACACAATTAATAACTATTATTGAACAAATTATGTTACAGAACTAGTTTCATTACCACACTTTGCACTTAAATTAAAATTTTGCTACTTTTTATGTTATTTACAGTACAGTATTTTGTTTTCTGTTTGCTACATTTCCAGTAGATACTCACGCATAACCTGCCCAGAGCAGGGAAACTAATACCAGTAAAACCTTCCCTTTGTGTCACCAGATATATTTGCTTTTCACACACAACTACTACGTCAACCTGCTGTTTAATCTTGTTTGTTAATAGAGTCATCTCTCAACACTCGCCCTTCTTGTTAACACTACACTTACATCCACCCTTACCATGAATCACTATCACCATTGTTGGTCAATGCTCATTTGTATCAGGTTCTTTAATAATACTGTGAATAAAAACTTTAAATTTAGTCATTATTTGTCCGATATCCTTTCATCTCGCTCCAAAAGTTATTTAGTTTGGCCCTAGAACCTTTGCATATCTGGAATTTATCACAATTACATGCTAATGAAGAAACATGTATACTTCTTATCCCGAATAGTGGTTTGCAGTAAACTGAACTCATGTCTTTCCTATTCAAGTATTCAGCTAATTAAAAGCAACCTTAGTTAAGCACTGTATTAAACCACTGATTGTATTACATTCTTAATATTACACAGACCAAATATATATAATACACACACTTCATAATTTTCATAATTTTCAATATTTACCATCAAGCAAAGCAAAAAGATAAGCAAATAAATACTGGTACAGTACAACAATAAGTAATTATCAAAAAGTGCTAAGCCCTGAAAAGCTATGTAGTGTCACAGAATATTCAAGAGTTCCTATTCATATATTCAATTCAGAATATTCAAGAGTTCAGGGTGCCAATACAAGTGAAGACAGATGTGATATAATCAATGTTGTAGCAACTATATCGGCATCCATAACACTACCCTTACGTCCGCACACTTTCCAGGGCTTAAACTGCTGCTGCTTCTCGATCAATCAGCAAGTGGGGGACTAGCTGGTAAACAGAGCCAAGCCTGACCTAGCATATTGTCTCTCAACTCTGCCCCCCCCAACTTGGCCATACAGACATCTCTTAACACCATCTCACCATACTTCATGTAGTGTGATTTATATCAAATATATGTTTGCTATGTTGTATCTACAGTACTGTCCTTCTGTCAGTATTGTAAAGAGTCTAGTTGAATCATCTACACTATACAGTACAGTACTGTAATGTTAAAGTTGAATTCACCGATGATTTTATTGAGGGACATAGGAACAATGGTAATTGCACAATCTTGTATCATCCTGGAAATCAAGATATCCAACATGGAACAACACAATTCTGATAGTAAAGTGCAGATCTGTGTTCCATTAACACTTATGCTGCAGCATTTATAAAAGAGCTGTTTCCAATGGATGTGCTTTTTTATTATTATTATTATAAAATTAAACAATTTTATCTTATAAATGTTTAGACAAAATGATGGAGAGTTCAATAAAAATAAGTAAAAAGTGTTGAGTGCTTTGGTAAGCCCTGAAAAGTGGATTTATCTTTGAGTGCCTCAAAGACCAAAACAAATCTAGTACTGTATAGTGCATTTAGAAAATTACATTTATTTTAATTTCGATAAAAATATAGTAGAACAAATGTAGAATAAGGGAACAATAATGAAAACCAATCTAGCTGCAATACTTGGTATGTACACACACTTGTGAAGGGGTGATCAACCTGTCCTGTTCCTGTATGCACACGTCAGCTCCCAAGGAATGTATTTCCTACCACTCACTGTCATACCATTTTTGCCCGAAACGCTGTGCATACTAGTGGCTTTAGGCTTAGTATATACTAGCACTATCTAGAAATCCAACATTCTGTTTGTAACTCATCTTATATGTATGTACTTTTACCTGAGTAAACATTATTATTATGTACAGTACACAAATTAATTCAGGGAGGCCCTACTGTAAATACAAGTATTTAAATTATAATACATAAAATTCAATAAATATGAACATCCAGGGTCGTAGTGGGCACTGACTCGTTCCAATGTTGCTCCGATCAAGGCCACTCTATCCCCCAAACACTGGTGGTCACACTAACCAAACATTTGCACACTTTACCCACAGTGACCCAAATGTCATGGCACTAACAAGTGCGGTCCACACACATGTAATGCTACCGTAATAATGAAGTTATTACCTTATAATCAAATAACATTTATTTCCCGATATCCCTATCCCTAATACTTCTCCCAATCTATATCCCTATCACCTCCCTGATATAACTACATTATAAAATTGAAGCATTTACATCAAAGGTTACAGGCATTAAATGGCCAACTGTAGTTTTTCTAAGTAATTGCTTGTGCAAATACAGTACTGTAAATATAAGACGTGAAGTAAACTTATTCAGCAGCACATGCTTTTCAGTTAATATTCAATCTTCTTGTAATCTCTGACTCGGCCACCAATCATAATTTGCTTCTTGCACTCGTCTATCACGCTCTTGAGCTTCTCAAGGATCGGGTCGACAAACGAGCCAATCCACTCGTCCACCGTGTCCTTGTAAAACACTTCCATCAACCAAGGAATGAGGTGAGTCCTCAGTTCACTCAGATTTTCATAAACCCTAAAATAAATAAAACTTTGAAGTTCAGGTTTGAGTTGGTGTTTTAATATGGTCACATTTTGGGGAAATGTTTGCAAAGATTTGGCTTATTTATTTCAAATATTATCACGACTTTGCTTTTCAATTATTGAGAACTTGGAAGACACACAAAACAACAATGCTACAATAGTATTATATCAGAAGAAGGGAAATTTGAAAAAAGAAAAATGAACATGCTGACAAGAGCCAAAATTAGGCAAAAGGATTTAAAATTAGATATGTCTTATAAACAGACAGACACACACATGCTTCTCAATGTAATCTACGAGAACTCCAAAGGAACTAAATCAAGATAATTTTTTTTTTTTTATAAAACACATCTATTAACCAAAATATAACAAATTAAACACAGTCAATGTACTCAACAAACTTACTCGTTAATTGAGTTCATTATGTTTTCCACTTGGACAGGATTTGTGAAATTCCTGGCTCTCAGATAATCACTGAACCAGCCCAGCATTCTGAAATCAAAATGAACTGATCATGATAGGGAATAAAGTTTGATCACACACATGAATGTCACTTTAAAGCTGTCAGGGACACTGGAAAAACCCCTACAGATCCAGCAATAAACTATCATGGATTATGAATTACGTATAACAAAACATTTAAACATTATAAATTATGAAAATTGGCAGCACACTAATTGAGGCATCTGGGAAAAACAAAACAGCTATTTCAAAGTAGAAAAATTAAATAAGCATGACTATGAACACAATTTTTGTAATGTTTACCCTTCTGAGTTGCTTATTGCCTGATACTTGCACACGAAGTTTGACCACATCTGTATCCCAACAAAGATCTTGTGACCGGGGAAGGACACACTCTGCTCTATAACTTGAGGCCTGTACAAAATACAATATGAAAACAAAATGAAGCTCACTCTTTCACCAGAAACATTTCTCATTAGATTTATTTCATCTTGTGTTGTTTTATTTTTACCTTCTACTCAATATATTACAAAATAGGTTTTTGACACAAGTCACCAATGTTAAAGGGATTGACATTCCTTCCCTTATTGTCTTCCATATTGTTTATTCGTGATGGTACAGTATTACAGAGTGAATGATATAATGAATGGACAAGCAATACATACTGTATTTGCTTTAATATCTATAACCTATTTCCACTATATTACTGTTCATTTTTACTACGGGTAGGTGCCTCCCCATGTCAAGAGAAGTGGAAAAGGGGGGTAGTGATAATGTACGTATATATACAGAATATTATGCCACCTGCAATTCAACCAAATGTAAATGTTTTAATATTATAGGCCTTCATTTAAAGAATAAAGTTTTGAGGGGAGGGACAGGGGTTACCAGGTTTTCAGTTCACTTTGCAAATGGCTATTGAGGAAATTTATACATTAGTCTCTAACATATCACTGCTGTTCCCTCTTGCTTCCATTCAGAACATGAGTCAGCAGTAAGACCGAGGGTTCCTTTACTAGCACATACAGCAGAAAAGACGAAATTAATACAAATTGGAAGAAAGGTGCAAGAATAAGAAACAGTGAAGCACAATAGTTTAAAGCAAACATTGAAAGAAAGATGTCAAGTCTGAAAACACGTGAAAGTCTACGGCGATGCTGCTATATGAACTGTCATGAAAGAACTGTCAAGTCAACAAAAGATACGTAAAATATAGTTTAAACTCCCAGGCCAAGTACTGGAATTTATATTACACACAACACAACAAAAAGGACCCCCTTTACTTCTCCTCCAGCTGTGCTTAAATAAAACATGGGATTTCACAATACCAAATATAATACCACTTACCTAGGAAATGGCACGACATTGATGCGATGGGAAAAACCCAACGACTGGGAGACAAAGTCGTGATCAGACTCTGTGAATGATCCATGGGTGTGTACTCTCAGGCATAAACACAAGCAGGGTATGGCTACAGGTAATAACTCGCACAGTACAGCATAATGATCATATCTGTTGGTGTACAAGAGACCTTACTATACCTGGTGAAGGTGAAATAAATGATAAATAGCTATTAACAGAAACTTAGCACGATCATTTCATAATATTGCTGTGGAAGATTAAACTAAAGAGAATTACATGTTTTCATCATAGCCAAATAAGAGATGTATAACTCCTCAAGCAGGCATATCTCAGCATACAAACTTTGGTGCAATAAGTACAGGAGGTGTAATAGTTATGAGGAATGAGAGCGAGTTCAGGGTGAAGTTTTGAGTAAATGGTGTTATAATGATTACAGTGAATATAATGAGTTTAACATATAAACATACCATTTGAGCATAAAAGTTGTCATTATATATCTTGCCATGGGTCTCAAGAAAGCCATTGGTAAGGTTCAACATAAGAAAATAGCTGTGAGTAGAGGCAGTAGAGGATGTCCCTTCTTGATTAAGAAAATGTGTGAAGTATGGGAAGAACTGCAAAGTTTTGTTGAAAAAACTCACCCAGATAAAGCTGTAGCAGGCCGTTGCATTGACCTTTTAAATGATAATGTGATGTCTTACTACAGACAAGTGTTAAAATGTAGGGAAAAACAAGTGTCTTTAGATAAATTCTTAGTAAAACAATCAAGTCCTAGTGGTATGCAGGCAAAATGTGCCAGAGTGTGCATACCAGTGAAGTCCTCACTGCCTGATGTGATAATGGAAGGGGACTCCCCTTCCAAACAGTAACTCCTCTCTTCCTCCCACCTCCTCACCATCTTCCATACGCCTACAGCATTCAACAGCAAGGTAAGTAATATCTTGAACATAGTTTTGTAGGTTTATTTTACAAAATATGGTACAACCAAAGAAGGCAGTTTGGCCTTTATGAGGCAACTTCTATTTATATCCAACCAATCTCTTTCGTATATGCCTAAACTTGACTTCAACATTCACTATTTGAATACTTGCAGCATGAATTCCTTGATGCTCACTCGGCCTTAACAAAAGAGCATGGGACTAGGTTGTATCGTAATCATCCGAGGCCTGCACTTTATTTCAGTCAAGTCCTAGGTTTTGGTACTTTACCAAAACAGTCTTGTGGTATTTCACTGCATTCAGGGTAGTCTGTCTCAGTATAGCATTTATCTTTGATTTTCATATGCCCCCAGCTTTGTACAGGGCAATGGATAATTACAGGGGTACTTATCCCCCAGAAGACAGTGTCTTACAAGTACAGTACTTGACATTGTCTACTCTAACCAGTGATAACCAGAGTTTAAGATCAATGGAATTACCGAGACGTTTCGCCCAGAAAATGTGAGGCATACCAAATATATAGAATATTTATACTTTGAGTTTGTCAAGTTTTCTTACAACATGAATATGGAAACTTGGTTGATGGTGATAATGATGAGTCTTAATACTGTACATCACTAACCTCTGCCAGCCAGTGAGAGCTATACCTCGGTAAATCTTAAACTGATGTTTGAACTCGGATAAAACACTGATCCAGGTAAGCTGATTGTTGATATGGTGCTGGATTGGGGGTAGGAACTGAGTGCTGCCAGTTGCACCCTTGAATGCACTAGCCACCCATATGCCATCAAACACCGCTGAATACCGATTAAATACATCTGCAAGGAATGAGCTTTTAAGTACTGTATATTAAATGCAAGAAATCATGAGAAAATCATAAACTGCATCCCTTCATGAAGCATCACTTGTCAGGGAGATATCATTCTAGATTATCTGATTATCACACAGTATGCATGATGCATAATGAATTAAGGACTATATGTCCTCCAGAGATTCATACACATACCTGAAGGTAGATCAAACCTCTTGGCCTGATACTGCCACACCATGGGCTCAACAAGCTCACCGAGCCCACTGCCTGTTGAAGGACACGCTAATTATTTAAAGCCATCATCAGTGTAATAATGGTTTTTAAAGGATTAATGTATAAAGATTACACTTCCCAAAAGGAAATACTGTATAGATGTTAAAACAATAAATTAATGTATAATAAGGAGAGATTAGTAAATAATACTTTGAATCGATATGAAAAGCACTTTTTAAGCATAGCTTCTGGTTGCTCCCTACGGTAAGAGTAAATGTTCTCAAGAAACAGGATTTATGAGCAGTCAGGCAGAAAAACATTCTAGGTTCTACAGGCCTACATTGTAAGGATCAATCACGATTTAGTTCAATTTCTTTCTTTATTATGCACCCCATACCCATCCCATGGACGGTGGTGGAAAGGGTAACAGAGGCACATAATCAGTTCAAGAACTGAACCCCATAGTTCGTTTAGCTAAGCAAGTGACAATCTTTTGAAGTTAGTTATACAATTGTTACTATTACATACACATGTACTGTATATATATATATATATATATATATATATATATATATATATATTTAAACATCCAATTGCGATTTCATCGCAGGATGAAATTGCAGAAAGCAGTCAGAGCCAAATAATGGTTAAGATGTTAGGAAGCTTTAGAAGAAATCACAATCTAGCCAAGAATGGCCATTAAAGGTACATCTATAAAGATTCAAAGCTATTCTGACTCATCACTTAGCATCACAAGTGACTCCTAAGCGAGGCTTCACAACTGCTCACTTGCAAGCCTTGCCAAATCCCCTGGTACACAACACTGATGTCTACCCAAGGTTCCCAAACCCAAATCACATCTTTTTCCCGATGCAAACACAAAATCAGCTCCAAGAAGAAAATCAAGATACTGGGTGGCACTTAAAGCAACCAGATGACTATACTCAGAGAGGTACTTTGAATTATTAATGAAAACTATTTCCGAGCCATTACACCTGGCTATTCCCTACGGTAAGTATTGGAAACAAATGCCCTCGAGTCAAGAACAAGGAAGTAGAAGCCATAAACAAAACCAAAGGAAGTAGGTTTCAGTATGCTTACCTGGCACAGAGGCAGATCAAAGAATGAAAGCTCTAGTACCATCAATGCCCAAACACAAAGGCATAAGAAAGGCATTGTTCAAACCTCTGAGCAAGGCATTGCCGGGGTGCTCAGCTGGTTTGGTCAAGCAGAGCAAGCAGTTAAAAAGCCTCGCTTGACAGTCCTTTGTGATGCCAAGTGAGGATACAATTGGGCTTTGAATCTTTATAGATGTCCCTATGACAGTCATCCTGGGCAGGATTAATTTGTCCTCTAGCACCACCCTAATCCCTGAAGGGATGTTTCTAAAGGTCCCTGTGACACAGTGCCTAGCATGTTAACCTGCTTTACTGCTTATGAATCCTGCCCCATACACCAAATCCTTACTTCAGGGGGCCACAGGATACAAACACTCCAAAAAATGCAAACAATACTATTGAGCAAAGCTTCAAATAACATAAAAAATCAATAGTGTACTGCACTAACTTTTAAGTTTCTCTAGAGGCATGTTTCGCATCATGTCGTCCCACATAACAATGGTGAGATGCGGGTATTCCTTTTTGATCCAGCAAGCCACTTTGAATACCCAAGCTAGGAATAAATCACTGCTGGACATTTTTCTGGTTTCCATCTCCTCCTGGCACCTTGGGCACTTACCAACATGCCACACCTGAGAAGTAAAAATTCAGTAACTACCATTAATATTACATTAAAATAAGCATATCTGAACATTTGTGATTCTATTATGGTATGTAACATGATTTAATTCTGGAAAGAATATTTTTAATATTAAAACATCTTTGTAGCAGCATGGCCTCTTTCCTCGAGGACATTAGTCAAGACCAATAATCTTAATTACTAAGGTATCTAAGTCTCACCTGCCTCCTCATGTTGGCTTTATTACTGCACCAATTGTAGTGAAACTTTTTGTATTTATTTCTTTATATATATATATATATATATATATATACAAGAGTTATAATGTGTGTGAGAGTCAAAAACACTGCCAATTTAAGTAGTTTAATAAAACACACAGCAGACCAGAGGCCAGATTCATGAAGCAGTTACGCAAGCACTTACGAACCTGTCGATCTTTTCTCAATCTTTAGCGGCTTTGTTTACAATTATTAAACAGTTAATGAGCTCCGAAGCACCAGGAGGTTGTTTATAACAATAACAACAGTTGATTGGGAAGTTTTCATGCTTGTAAACTGTTTAATAAATGTAACCAAAGCCGTCAAAGATTGAGGAAAGATGTACACGTTCGTAAGTGCTTGCGTAACTGCTGAATCCGGCCCCAGAAGGCTAGCAGATAATCTGTTAAACCATGTTACCCGTGTTCAATTGGTATACAGTACTGCCAAAAATCATCCTTAAATTTGTTAATTTGGTATAAAACTGCTTACCCATATACCACAGAATCTTTTGTTATCCAATAGCATGCAAATCACCTGTACTGTATATGGCAATAGAGTATAGATAAGCAAGCACCACCACACAAAAGCAAGCGGAATTGACAGGGTGGACAAGGATGGATTATTTAACACAGGTGGCACACGCACAAGGGGACACAGGTGGAAGCTGAGTACCCAAATAAGCCACAGAGACATTAGAAAGAACTTTTTCCGTGTCAGAGTAGTTAGTATATAGAATGCACTAGGAAGTGATGTGGTGGAGGCTGACTCCATACACAGCTTCAAATGTATATATGACAGAGCCCAGTAGGCTCAGGAATCTGTTCATCAGTTGATTGATGGTTGAGAGGCGGGACCAAAGAGCCAGAGCTCAACCCCCGCAAACACAACTAGATGAGTACAACTAGGTGAGTACACTCCAGCAGTCACTCACAGTAACTCATTAATACCAAAACAGTTGTGAGGTCAAGCAATAGCATAGGAAGAGTGGTTTGAGGATGAGGGAAGGTGGGGGATATTAGTTACTGTATCTTGAGGTTATCTTGAGATGATTTCGGGGCTTTAGTGTCCCCGCGGCCCGGTCCTCGACCAGGCCTCCACCCCCAGGAAGCAGCCCGTGACAGCTGACTAACACCCAGGTACCTATTTTACTGCTAGGTAACAGGGGCATAGGGTGAAAGAAACATTACCCATTGTTTCTCGCCGGCGCCTGGGATCGAACCCAGGACCACAGGATCACAAGTCCAGTGTGCTGTCCGCTCGGCCGACCGACTCCCCTAGTCGGTCGGCTCCCCTAGTTAAACTCATTTACTTAACAGACAAACTAGTTATTTTATGCCATTTAAACAAAACATAAAAATACAAAACAAAATCAAATTTAAATATAATGAATCATTAATACAAGAACAAGACTGTATTTAAATTACATACCTCATCAGCTCCTATGTGAAAAAATTGATCATTAGGATGTAACTCAACCACCTGTGTAATTAGTCTGGAAACCAATGGGAAAGCATCTGGATGGGTTGGACAAAGAGCATTAGGGTAGCGCTCTATTTCCCGAACAGCTCGGTTCTCGTCGTGTTTTAGCACAAACTGTAAAACATCAACAAAAAGCTAATATAATTAAGTGCATTAACACTCAGAGCATTAATAACTATTTAAGTTTTAATATAACCGAGATATAGTAATTTAATAGAACTGCAATACTGGTTCTATCTCTACTAATAGATTAATTATTATAAATAGGCTTCAGAGTGAAAGTCACATGCTACAGTTTCAAAATAATAAAAACTACTACAAAATAATAAAAAAAATCAGAATGATTGAAGAAGGCATCTCTGGCCTTCTACTCCATTATATTTTCTACAATACAAAAATTAGGAAAAGCAATTTTCTGAACAAGTTGCCAAGTTGCTCCTTAAGCCAAAGAATCTCCTCAACCCAGTGCCAGGAAGTCCTGGATCCCAAACATTTTTAATTAAAAACTTGACTGTACATTTAAAAATACAAATTAATACCATACAGTATACATCTACTGGCAATATCTATTACCATAATTCTGAACCATAGGGTAAAAAATCTCACCTCAAAATGTCCAAATGTCTGAATCAATGGGATGATAATGAGGTTATTTCTTGCTGCGAGGGTGTGTAGCTGAACAATGTCATCAGGGAAGTAGGCATGAGGTGCTCTTAAGTGTGCCAGCTGGCCATGGTAAGGGAACATGTCTTCATACTCCACCAGTAAACCAGTGGCACCAAATGACGACAGAAGTGGAAACAGCTGAAAATAGATGAGAGAACTACATCAGCAACTGAAACATCAAAACATTTTCAATGTGTAGTCCCTATACAAAGCCCACTGAACATTATGCAATTGAAAATATACCCCTGGCTCAGATTTAGAACTCTTTAAAACTCTTTATCAAGAAAAACAAGCTCTTTGTACCCTATGGAGACAGTTTACATATTAATAACATCCACAAGCTCTTTAAAACAAATAATATCATCGCTTCACAAAAACCAAGCATTGACTGTAATGAAACGTTGTTTTTGGTGGATCCTCAGTAATGTTCCGCAGCTTAGTGCTGGTTCAGTAAAGCCTTAGGAAGATGCACCAGGTCAGAAGAACCCCACGCAACTGAACTGACAGGCAAAATGCCACTACCACCACGACCCTGCACAGCCAGGCACACAGTCTGATGCCTTGGTCACACACTAGGGCCCACCGGCACAAGTGGAAACGGGGAAAGGGATTTGGGATAGGTAGGATTTAGAAGAAACTAAGTTCTATTAGAGCAAATCAGCTTTTCACGAGTTTCCTCTGTACCTCATTTTTTATAATTCTGACAAAGGCTGAAACCTTGTATTTAATACATTCCCAGATATAGCTTTGTAATAGTAAATTCTATTTTCTATTGAATTTGCTATTTGGATGAACTTGTAATAGCGAGTTCATCCCACAAACAAATTTTAACTCGTCACAGTGAATACATAGTAAACCATTTATTGAGCATATAACTGGCAAAAACATCATCTTACTTGTTCAAAGTAGCCAAGTCTTGGTGGAGCTCCTTTCAAGTCGAGATGAACCAAGCTGTAATAAGAAATTAGAGTTCTTATGGAAAGATGTGAAGTGAATGTGTGTATGAATAACATGTGCAGAAGATGAGTCACAATAACGCGGCTGAAGTATGTTGACCAGACCACACACTAGAAGGTGAAGGGACAACGACGTTTCAGTCCGCCCTGGTCCAGGACGGACCGAAACGTCGTCGTCCCTTCACCTTCTAGTGTGTGGTCTGGTCAACATGACTAACTTGATTGAGAAATACGCATGCTAACTAGCAAGACTGAATATGTGCGCTAAGGTGACATGATCATTTAAGAGTGGATGGGGTTATATGATGATGATATCCCTACAATTTGAACATTACTCCTATGTTCTTTGTACACATATTCTTTTGAATATGTGTACTTAATGAAATTCCTTTTTTCTGGTGGATTTCTATGTAACTGTCCTAGCTACCAAGGCAACTGACACACTTAAGAACTACACCTGGTGCCATTGATTCCAAAGTGCCTATTGAAGACCAGAACAAGAATCTGGCTCCCTTAACAGAGGCAGGAAAGCCTAGGGATCTAGAGCCACCCACGGTACCCAAAAGAAAACCTCCAGTGAGGTAAAGTGCATCAAACAGATAACTGCACGACAACCATTGGCAATGATGTCTCTATGTAAACTAACATGATTAGAGATGATGCACTGGTCCATCACTCATGCACCTCTTCAGGAAGATAAGTGATGACAAATTTGCATTTTGTTCCGAATCAACTTTAATAATGACAAAGCCATACACTGTTTTGTATGAAACTTCACACTTATCAAATACTAATGTGTAACCCAAAAAGTAAATTTTTCCTTTGACACAGTAAGATACTACAGTACTGTGAATGAATATTGTAGATATAAAAAGCACCTGCAATAATTCTGGGAACATTTTAAAATGTGGTGGTGTTCTTGAGAAAAGAATGATACAAAACCTCTACAAGTCATTCACAATTCCCTGGAATATTCACATTGCACCACTTCATCAGACTGGCTGCCTTACTCAAATAAAGGACTTAACAGATGAATTCTAGTGAATAAAAGTACTGTACTAAAGTATTTACTGATACAAAAACAACTTATAATGAAGGTAAACAATTTAAGACAATATTGTACACAAAGTTATCTGAGAACAAAAATCCATAACTATAATTGATGGAAACAAAAATATAGTTTAGATCTGGACTCAATAACAGAAAAGATAAAATATATACGATAGATACTGACAATTAAACTTACTTAACTATGGCCTTAAGACAAATACTGATAGTTCAGTAGTATGGAGTGGAAATTAAGCAAAGCAAAGGTATGTCTTATACATATTCAAGTATGATAATGCATTGCCAAGGAGTCTAGAAGTAATGTATCAAGTAGCTTTGCTGTATTAAGTAGTAAGAGTATTACAAATCTTAAATCAAAGAATAATATTAAAATTCAATATTTCTGATTGATTGGCTCTCACCTGTGTGTTTTTTCAACTGGATCCTCCATTTTATAAAGACGTATACCGTCTGGAAAACACAAGATAATTATAGTACTGTCCTCTGAAAATGTATGCTCAAAATTATTCATTCTTTGAAATCACACAATTCATGATCAATGGAAAAACTAGGCAAATCTAGCATGAAATAATGGAAAGGAAAACTAAGCCTGCTAATACGAGTCAAAAATCATTTACTCCAGTACCCCATCTGTAAAAAAAAAAATTTGAGTTAGGACTGCCACTTAATTAGACTCCCAAAAATCAGTCAAACTGGAGGGGACAAAGCTCTGTAACCCAACAGAACCATAGGGCATAATTCAAGGGATAAGACACTTTTATAGTTTGTCTCCTATCCTTAGCCAAAAGAGGAACTTAATGTGTCTGGTAATTACTCAAGCGTTTTCACCTTATTTATAGATGCCAGTCAGTATTGCTCACAAGACCGTCACCTCACTTGTGGCTGCCTGACACTCACAGGACTCGCCTCACTTGCAGCTGCCAGTGACACTCACAGGACTGTCACCTCACTTACTGCTGCCAGTGTCACTCACAGGACTATCACCTCACTGCTGCCAGTGTCACTCACAGGACCGTCACATCCCTTACTGATGCCAATATCACTCACAGGACTGTCACCTCACTTACTGCTGCCAGTGTCACTCACAGGACTATCACCTCACTGCTGCCAGTGTCACTCACAGGACCGCCACATCCCTTACTGATGCCAATATCACTCACAGGACTGTCACCTCACTTACTGCTGCCAGTGTCACTCACAGGACCGTCACATCCCTTACTGATGCCAATGTCACTCACAGGACTGTCACCTCACTTACTGCTGCCAGTGTCACTCACAGGACCGTCACATCCCTTACTGATGCCAATGTCACTCACAGGACTGTCACCTCACTTACTGCTGCCAGTGACACAGGACCGTCACCTCACTTACGGCTGCCAGTGTCACTCACAGGACCATAATATAGTGCACTACAGCGAGCACTTGCCGCTGAGACCTGCCTGGCCCTCTGGGGGTGTTGTGTTGATGGCGTCTGCTGATCGCTTATATTCCTTTATATCAAGCTTGACGTTTTCTGTGGTTCGTTGTCATGGTAATATGAATGACCTAATTTTACCCGAGAGTCAGACCTAGTGAAAAGATACCCATCAATGTTTACCAGTATAATATGAAGAGCTAAACTTTCCTTTTATGAGAGTACATTTAAAGAAGCAAAAGGAAACATGAAAAGAACATGCTAATCCTTATTTAGCAGTTAGCCAAAGATGGACTTTATTTAGTTCAGTATTCACAGTGACATTTAGAGGAAGAGGGTCAGGACTAGAGAGAATGAAAGTTGTGTCATCAGCAAATAAGATTGGTTTGAGGTGTTGAGAGGCATTTGGAAGGTCATTAATGTAGATGAGAAAGAGGAGAGGGCCAAGTATGCTGCCATGTGCAACACCAATGTTTATGGGTAGTGTAGGATAAATGGAATTATTCACAGAAACATACTGGAGCCTGTCAGTAAGCTAAGACTGAAGATATTGCAGGGAGTGACCTCTGACTCCATAATGATGTAATTTAAGAAGAAGGTTTTGGTGGTTGACAGTGTCAAAAACCTTACGTAGGTCCACAAATATCCCAACAGGGAACTCATTTTTATTAAGAGCTGTATGTATCAAGTTAATCATACTAATAAGTGTATCGTTAGTGCTATTATTGGGTCTGAAACCATATTGGCAAGAGTTAAGTATATTGAGTTTGGCTAGATATGAGTAAAGCTGATTGTAGATTAGCTTTTCAAATATTTTTGACAAGGTTGGCAGAATTGATATAGATCTGTAATTGTTGACATCAGTAAGATGACCACATTTGTGAACTGGGGTTACTCTCGCTTTTTTAGAATATCCGGAAAGATTTGGAGATCAAGTGATTTGTTGAAGAGCAATGCAATGGCAGGAGCTAGATATCTGGAGGCTTTTTTGTAAATTAGAGATGGTATCTCATGAAGGGATCTTGACTTAGTTTAAGGAAAAGCCCCCGTCGAGGTCAGTAGAAGTAAATTTACCTCTAGGGGGGGGACGAATTAGTGACAAATTTATGAAGTTACCTGAGGTGAACCTCAGGTAAATTCGGGTAAAAGTAAAATATAGAATTTAAAATCAAATAAGCTAAAATAAAATAGTGCAGAAGAAGTTCTCAATGACGGGTCACATTCGTGTAAAAGTAAAATATAGAATTTAAAAAGCATATAAGCTAAAATGAAATAGTTAGTGCAGAAGTTCTCTGTGAGGGGTGATGAGTGGCGAGGCCGGAGTAGTGAAGAAAGCGACCCTTCCCACCTGCCAGTTGTTGTTGTGCCTTGCTGAACCTACCAGTGTATGGAAGACATGTTGATCGAGGACATAGGCACGGCGGGGAGCAAGTGTGAGGAAGAGGAGGACGAGGAAGGAGGTGAGGCAGCCGGATACAGCGTGGAGGACCCGGTGACGGAGGAGGAGGAGGCGGCGGCGGCCACACAGGAGCCTCCTACCGCCATCATCGTCACCAACCTCCTCCCCAACACCTTCGACGACCCTCAGGCCCGAGTAAGTCCACCTCACACATGGCCTATATTATTATTATTGCTGCAGGAGACTCTCACCACTCCTGTGCTAGGTAAGTCCACTACGGGCTCACCATAGCCCGTGCTACTTGCCCCGCTCCTGTGCCAGGTAAGTCCACTAGGGACTCACCATAGCCCGTGCTACTTGCCCCACTCCTGTGCCAGGTAAGTCCACTACGGGCTCACCATAGCCCGTGCTACTTGCCCCGCTCCTGTGCCAGGCAAGTCCACTAGGGACTCACCATAGTTCGTGCTACTTGGAACTTTTTGTTCCTAGAAGCTGAATCTTAAACAGCAACGAGACTCTACAGCCAGGGAGTAGGAACCACACGCTCGTTAACAAGGTGGGAAATATTTACCCAAGAAACATGACCACTTTACATTTACAATAATTGTACTCCACAGGATGAACAACCCAGCGGGTTTTCTTCCTATTGGGGAGTGTTGTACATGCTGCTATGGCGGTGTGTCCACTCACAGGATGAGTGGCGCTGCCCAATACTGTCACTATGGCGGTGTGTCCACTCACAGGATGAGTGACGCTGCACAATACTGTCACTATGGCGGTGTGTCCACTCATAGGATGAGTGACGCTGCCCAATACTGTCACTATGGCAGTGTGTCCACTCACAGGATGAGTGATGCTGCCCAGTACTGTCACTATGGCAGTGTGTCCACTCACAGGATGAGTGATGCTGCCCAGTACTGTCACTATGGCGGTGTGTCCACTCACAGGATGAGTGACGCTGTCCAATACTGTCACTATGGCGGTGTGTCCACTCACAGGATGAGTGATGCTGCCCAATACTGTCACTATGGCGGTGTGTCCACTCACAGGATGAGTGACGCTGTCCAATACTGTCACTATGGCGGTGTGTCCACTCACAGGATGAGTGACGCTGTCCAATACTGTCACTATGGCGGTGTGTCCACTCACAGGATGAGTGACGTTGCCCAATACTGTCACTATGGTGGTGTGTCCACTCACAGGATGAGTGACGCTGTCCAATACTGTCACTATGGCGGTGTGTCCACTCACAGGATGAGTGACGCTGCCCAATACTGTCACTATGGCGGTGTGTCCACTCACAGGATGAGTGACGCTGCCCAATAAACTCGCCCCTCGGGGCAAAATTTATAAAATTTTAATAATTGTACTTAGAAAATATACATAGAGCATGTTAAGGTTGATTATTGGGTATATAACTTGTATATTATATATAAACTAATGCACAGAGTTTTGAGCATAACTTATAATAATTTAGTTAATTTAATGTTAAGTCTAATGGAGTAAAAATTGATGCAAAACGAGAAATAAGGTAACATATATAAATTGTTCAGCAAGTTTAAAGAATTATGTATAAAATCCTTCATCTAGCCCAGGAACTTGCTTGGCTTTAATTTTTCTAATTGTTTAATACAATAACGTCCTCCGTGGTAACCTCTAAACTACCCAACCTGTCCTCTTCACTACAAATGTAGATTTGTTCAGCCGAAGGAATAATATTAAACTATTTTCTAATGCAAGTTCTTGGTGTATGTTTTATGTGTATGGTCTTTGGGTTGTAGAATGAAATACTGTAATGGTAGACATGTAGAAAGGTGCCACTAGAGCTGAAGTGCCAGTTCTTGCCAGAACCAGCGTTCTTGACAGGTGTGTGTCTTGTAACTTCAGTGGCTGACATACTTTGATTTAAATCTCGCTAAATATTGTACATGCAGACTAGATTGTGGTAATATTTTATACTTAAACTTACTGAAAAATCTATGGTTTAACTTATTTTTTATTCTTTTTAAAAAACTAAATAAAAGTAGTTAAAGTTGCTGAGGGATTGCACATTTATTCTACAGTTCAAATGAGTCAATATTTGACTTTACCTTCACAAACTGCTGCAATGTGGCCATGTTTCTCACCACTCCTCATGACTGTAATCACTGCAACTTTACTTTCTTACAAATTCTGCCACTCATCACCTAGTCTTCTACTGTGCTTCAGACCCACAGATTAACTCTTTAATACTTTACATCTACTTCACCAGTCTGTAATTGTCTGTGCTCAGCACGATTAAAATCATCTATTGTATTTTGTATAAGCAGAAATTTTAAATACATCCATTAATCCATATGTGATATCTATTTGCATGTCCTAAAAATGCTGCTCTTTGTACGTGATCAAATCATTTTTTGCATTCCACAGGTTATATTTGAGTCGTTGTTTCATGATGTAGACAAAAGTGTCACATTTCAATACTTCAGGAGCTTCAGAAGAGTGAGAGTAAACTTTGCTTCACATGCACAAGCTTCTACCGCGCGTGATAACCTCCACATGACAGAGTTTAATGGGGAAGTCATCAAGTGCTACTTCACCCAGGTGAGATCACTTCTTTAGCATCAGAAGGTAATCAGTATTAAATGTAAATGGCCAGAAAATATTTTTATTTTCACCTTTCTTTGGATTTTAGATATATTGATTGATGGAGATTTAATGCGAGTCTAGTGAATATTAGTGACAATTATCATCTCTGACACTCCAACCAACACACATGAAAGGAAAGTGACAGCGTTTCAGTCTGTCACTATCCTTTCATCGCATATGTGTGGGTTGTGTTACCACATTATTGCAACTTATTCTCAGCATATTATCCCATATTATCCCTGTTAACAAAGTATTATTTACAAGGTATTGTTTATCTTGTCTTTTGATTTTGTGGAATCTCATTACTGTTCTGGTATATTGAAATATTTAAACCAAAATATTACCCATAATATTCATGAAGCATTTTAAAATTTATTTGTTACTACAATAACAAGGTGATTCCCACTCCATTAGCCAATAATTCTTGGAGGCAATCGAGAAGGTGGACCTCACCTCAAACCACCAAAACGGGAAAAACAGTTCCTGATATCCCCTCCTGCATCGCCACCTGTGGGTTGGGAACCCATCGATGAGGCAGAACCTCTCATAAATTATGATCTGATTTCAGCAGTGGCCCAACTTGTTCCAGGTAATTGTTTAAAGTGTTTGAACTTTCCATAGTAATTAATTCCATGCAGTTTTCTGTATTTTATTTAAGAATGATGAGATAAGCTATTTGTGTATCAAAATGGTTGCCTAATGTTAGCTGGATCATACCATGACTGTTTGGAGACTGAGCCTTCCTCTACAGCCTACTGATAACAGGTGTATAACCACCAGGTATTGACTATTAAAAAATGCTATAGACAATGTGTTCAGCTAACTATATTGTCACAATTAGCGTACATCCTGTACTGCATTTTCTAGATTGAATACTTTTCACTAGTCTATCAGTAGAAATAATATTAAATGTTAGTACACTTTGATTTATAAATTAAAATACTTTGAAAGTGTTAAATAATTTTGGAATTAATCCTGTTATATGATGTATATACAGGTATTACAATTTTACTCATACTGGTAATTATTTTTAACTAGTTATTACATTACTGTATTTCAGATACACAATTTGTAATATCAATGAGCTGGTTCAAAGTAATATAGATAATCCAGTTGTCCTTATATTTATTATTTGGGTTGAAAGTCTAGTTTTTCAAATGTAGAAACTTTTTTTCATATTGTGTTAAATTTCACATGTAAGATTATACAATTACCCTTTCTTCCTCCACCATTTTATTGCACACTTCATTTTCACATATTGTTATCATGGACAGGAGGAGATATGGAAAGATGGTGTTCTTGTGATACACGACAAACTTGATCTTCATAGTCACAGGTGATGCATGTGTACAAATCCACAAGGGCTGTGACGAGGATTCAAACCTGCGTCCGATTTGAATCGGACGTTCGAATCCTCGTCACGGCTCTTGTGGATTTGTTCATTTGATGCATCATGTTAGTGTGATCTCTATGTGTATGTCAATTTAGATCCCATGTATGTTAAATCTCGGCATGTGATCCCATGATGTCACCTTACAAATTTGTATATTTCTTTCCATGTTTTCTAGGGGAAGCCCACGAACTGCATCCAGCCATGGAAGATAAGCCTGGAATTATTGTGCATGTCTGTGAGGAGAGTCTAGCCAATGACGAGGAACAGGGAGGTGCAAGACGACGCATTTCACCATCTCGTCGGCCTACTCCATGTCCCACATGCAAAAAGTGATTCCTGTGAAGTATAGGTACATTTGAATCCCATTTAGTCTGGATTCATATAAAACAATGAAATCCTGTGGCTGGCTCTCTGGATCTTCACGTGGTGTCTATAGAATCCCAACTTGTTTTTGTCCTGTAGTAGGTTGAGTGTCATTGCTGGCTGTTAAGTGACTGTTACTTTGATTAGTTACTTGCTTGAATCACTTTGACCTCTTGACTGTTTCATTATTTGTTGGTTATGTAGCATTTAATTTTGTATTCATCACTGTTCCATGGCTTCTTGGGGCTCTCAGTGTTATGAATTTCTCAGAGCTTTTTACTGCAAATATGAACTAATCAACTTTATTCAGAGGCATATTTTCCCACTAAATAAACTGAATAAATATTATATAGCTTGTGTGGATATTAGTCAACTCAAAGTAGGATTATCATCACTATAGTTTTGCTGTTTATGTTATTGATGCACTGTACAGTAGAATACCGGAATCAAATCACTCTGACAATATCAGTGCCTGATGTGGAGCTCTTCAGTAGTGAGGGTTTCTCGCTCCTCAGTATATTTTTTAGTTTAATGAAGCAATAGTTGTAATATTTATTATGATTATCATTCTGTAAATTGTTTAAATTATTTAAATTTATATCAGATAATATATATGTAGTGCAATATAATTTTTACTAGAATTCTATTGTTTTATTTAATGTGAAGTGTAAGTGTGGCTGTAAAGAAATGTGTATTATGTGCTAGTTCTTAAGATAAAGCTGTAAATATAAATAATATATATTTATGAGTCCTCAAGTTTATCATATTCTGAGAAAAACTGAAAATTATAACAGGTTTTGAAAACCCGTTTTTTCATCATAAGATACTAAGAAATGGAGGGAGAGCATTTTAAGTTTAAAAAGTTCTCATGAAGAAAATAATACTCTACATTACTTAAGAATCTTAACTTGATAACGGTCCAGGACGGACCAAAACGTCGTCGTCTCCTCAACTTCTAGTGTGTGGTTTGGTCAACATTTTTCAGCCACGTTATTATGACTTCATCTGCTTAAGAATCTTAAATTTATTGGAATGAGAGTATGACTAAGAATTTTTTTTGAATCTTGGATAACCGAAAATGTTTGTGATTTTATTTGGTTTGTCAGGTGGCAGAGTCATGGTTTGTGTCCCTGGGCTGAATCTGGCTCCCAAGACTTTCTAAAAATTCATCATAGTGGTTCCTTGGAAATTTTGGTTCCTGGTGTGTGTGCTTGCCTCAATGACTGGCTCATGTGGTACTCCAGTTGTCAGTTACCTGCTAGTCACTGTTTACAATGGTATCTTGCACTCTGCCAAGCTTTGTCTGTGTTTCTTTATGTTCGTCCGTTCCTCTTATGCGTTTCCTTTCTTAGCTCTTCTCCGAGTGGAAGCTCACTGCTAACTGGACACTTTCTCTATGGGGCTCTTGTAGAGCTGCTTCATTTGTTTTCTAGTTCTGTAGCTTTCTTTTTATGAAGCTTAGTAAGGCATTCCTCAACATCTTCTAATTTCCTCCAGGAGCCCAACTGGCCTCTCAATAGGAGGTTGGAATTTATCTGCCTGCATTTGTTGTGGCTTCGTCCCTCATCCAAGGATCTCATGCTTAAGGGTGTATTTCTCAATAATAATAATTTATTTAAACAAATATTATATAGGATCTGATTACAGTGCTTAGATATGTACTTATATTTTACATAAACCACTAATACAGTAATATGCAGCATTTTGGACAAACCTTAAAATTAATGTGTGTTTAGTTAAATATTATCCTAAAATTTAATAACACTTAGAGATGGAAGTTAACATGTGTCAATCTTAAAAATATATATATATATATATTGTCACTACGGTCATTGAGCTTCATGCTCTTCTCTTAAGTTTGGTCTGAATGGACACTTTTGTGCACCTAATCCCTAATTTTTGGCTAAACATAAGACTGAAATTCAGTTGAGAGAGGCCAAATCTTGGTTTGGGTTGGGTTTGTTATTCCATCTGTGTATCATCTCATTTTAGTTGTGGGCTTATATTTTGCATTTTAGGTTCCCAATCATTTCTCAGATTCACTTTTCCTGAATCCCACATAAAATTCTTCATACTATGGTGTCTTGTATGAAGGTTTGGTTGTAATCTGCACAGAGAGGTTAAGCTCAGTAGCCAAGGTAATGAATGTTTTCCTTATCCTTTTAATCTGTTGATTTCACTATCCAGTAGGCATTCATCCTGTTCTGACATCAATGCTTGAAGAGTATGTTAGTTGAATTGTATGCTTGCATCCTGGCACCTACTTAAGGTTCCACATTTCCACCAACATGTGTTGTTCTTGGATGGCATTTTTGTCACCTAAACAATTAAAGGGTCTAGGTTTCGTGATGTTTGGCCTTCCTGAAATGCAAGTTGCTTTCTTTCCCTGCAGCTCCATCTGGTTATACACCACAGCACAGATGAACTAATCCCCCTCTATATTTTGTAATCACTGGCCTTCCAGTTTAACTCTTGCCTAAGGGAGCAATCAAATGACATAGCTCTGAAATCATACTTTGATTGTACAGTATATAACTAGCTCTTTGCCAAATAGAACATTTAGTTGTTACTGTTTCCTTCTATCTGTCCCTGCTAACCTTTTTGTAGGGGCTTTGTGTAAGGTAGAATGTGAGGCGCATAGTCAGGAAATTGTGTAGCGATGCCATCTGGTGGCAGTCGGGTAATGATTACACAGACCAACTAGCAATTATCAAGAATGTTTCTTGGCAAATAGATATTAAGGAGTTTGGAGTTTATTCTAGAAAGGTTCTTCAAATATTATTCCAGGCCAGATCAAGTTTTCTGCAGTACGATTCAATAGGAAGGTTTCCAAAAGATCGTTTTGCGCTTGTGCAGAATGTCAACCTAACTTAACTGTATGTGATTCAATCCATGGGACCAGCAAGACCTCATCTAAGGAACATTCAAGTGACCTATTAAAAAAGGAACCTTACATATATATACTCGACCTGATTTTTGCTGCTTGCCTTTGTGCTTGCACCACTTCTTCAGGCCAATCCATGGATCTAGGTCTTTATAAAAGATTTAAGCTCAACCTAATAAAAATAACTGAACTTTCAGTGACTTGGGGCCTAGCCAAAACCGCTACATAAAGGAGTGTTTTGCATGGACTGTGGCCCTCAACTTCAGCTGATCTGTTTAATTCAGATGACAAGAACAATGATTTTGAAAGTTTCTCATGACAAAAAGTTAGGGTGAAAACAAATCTCTTATGAGCGAGATGCCTTGCCTACATTTAAACAATAAAGACTGCCAAGATTAAACATCAGTTTATCTTCAATTTTAAGGATGGCCAAGATTGTTGAATGTGATACAGATGCGCCTATGGCACATAGCATGACTGCTGAGGTCATGATATAAATAGTGACAAATACCTAATCATGAGGAAGCTAGGATGAGCCAGAAAAAGAGAAGCCTGTAACACCATTTTCTCTTACAGAAATCGGAACCGGGTTTAACATTGCCAAGTCAAATTTTATGTGTATTTGCATCCTGATATTTATCATAGGTTTGGTACATATCAGAATTTTACTTTCAAAATGACGATGAACCATAAAATTTTGCTTTAAATTGATTAAACAGCTTTCCAACATGTAGAGCAGTATTTACCCTTGAAGTTTGTAATTCTTTCAGCTCTTGATCACCATAGTGCTCATAAAATATTAGAAACCAAATATTGTTAAACTGATTTTTTTTGTAGATAAGTTACTACAGGTATTTAAACAAAAATTACAATTAAAGTAAATTCTATATACAGTACTGTATAGCTTACTTCCCTGGATATACAGAATTTCAAATTAAATTCTGATATTGATACCAGCTCCTGAAATTTGGATAAAAAGTTACATCTAAATTTTTGTTTTAATTCCTTGAACAATTAACGGAAAACAGAAATAAGTGTGGGTGAATGAAGAAAAATACCAAAAATGGTCTCAAAATTCATGTAGTGTCTTCTTCTATTGAAGACTCATTTATCAACACAAATTTTCTTCCGACTTGTGGCTCTCGGATGGGAAGCTTCGTGCTTTTCGACTAAATTTGGGTTTTGTGTCTTATGCCCTGTAATTCATTTCTATGCCTCCAGCATTCTCTATCATTCTACTTTCCAGAGGAGGGGGTCTGGAATTCACCATATACTCTATCCTGTTGTGATACAGAGTCATTTGCATGCTCCTCATGCTCTTAGGTTTGAGACCTGGATTACAAAATCTGTATTTACCATGTTGTTAAGCAAGAGTCTTGCTGACTTTCTATAAGGTGGTTCCAGCCAGCTGTGTTTCCACATTCTCATGATGTCAAGAAGTTTGTTGTTCTGATGTTTTCTTTGCCAATAGTATGTGCACAACAATATCAGGGCTTGAGCTTTGGGTGCACCAACAGGGTATTGGCCTTATGCTATTTATTGGATGTACTTCAGCCTCTTTGCACTCGTGTTGTGCATGGGCATTTAGCACGAAACTTATGTTTGCTCTCTTCTGCCATCTTATTCCACGGGTAAACCATGACTGTATTTTTCTATTTACTAATTGGTTCTTTTAATTAATGTAAGCCCCGTCTTTTCCTTGGGGTTTGGGTGGCTCTTTTGTGAGAGAGAGATGGCAGAAACTCTGGAAGACTTGGGTGGTCAGGTGCAACACAGATGGAGCACTTACATTACAGCAAGATATACTCAACTTTTTATCTTACGTTACCAAATTTTATTCAAACATTTGCTTGTTTTGTTGTGCTAATGCTTTCTGGTGGGTTTCTTTCTTGGTTTTAGGTTGATCTCTGATCCCCATGCTCCCCTCACCTCGTAGAGAGCCAGATTCTGCTCTTGGCTCCAGCCCAACCACTTGGGCTGGACGGTAGAGCAACGGACTGGCTTCATGCAGGTCGGTGCATGCAATACCTGTTTTTAAGTGGTTGGGCACCATTTCTTCCCCCTATCGCAAATCCTTATCCTGATCCCTTCCAAGTTCTATATAATCGTAATGCCTTGATACTTTTTCCTAATAGTTCTCTTCCTTTGGCTGCCAGTAAGCAAGTGTAATCTCAGGGGCCTAATGCACTACTGGACCAGCACTGCATTACTGAAGAACCTACCAGAAGAGGGAATCACATTTCATTCATTACTTGATTCATATGTGAACTCATAAAAAGATGTTTGTTTGAATTTTAAAAATAATTATGTGTATAGGGTAAAATAATTGAGCAATCTAAGGGATAAATCAATGAATAGCATTAAACAAAAATATATAATTTGATCAGACTCGCACTGTAAAAGACAGAGTGCCCACAATAAGGAGCCCCAGAGTGCTTAAGGGTGCCCACAATAAGGAGCCTGAGCAGGTATTTTCAAATCCTATAAAACTGAACTTTATGAGAAAAAGTTTGTACCAATTTGGTAGTAATTTTAATGGCCTATTTTTTTTAATATTTTAGTTTGGTTTGAAGTTGAGCATGTTGAAGATTTTTTCCTTGTTATGTACTGTCGTCTTGTGATCTTTTACAAGACGACAAGATTTTTTACAAGACAACTTTTACAAAAAATTACTTATCTTCAAACTGAGTTGGAGCCAAACATGTTTTTGTTTTCAAGATTTAATTTTCTTTGTTGTGCCTTTTCAAAAAGAACATTTGTTGAAATGGTTCTTATTTTAAGATTTTCTGTGATAACTGACATTGCATCATCATTAACTATCAATGCCACTGTTGCACCATGAGTAACTGGTCTGTAACAATGATGCTACATCACCATTGACTACCAATACCAACATTGCATTATGAATAACTGGTAACGATGATGCTGTATCATACATTTGGTAGAAATATAATTTAATTTTTTGTTGCTGCCTTTTTACCTAGTTAGGTTTCTGTATTTTAATTGCATCTATTGTCAAATATAAATTATGCAAATTTTATTTCTCAATGCTCTTGGTTTACTTAACTACATTAAAAGACTCATTATATTGGATTATGTCTTGTTACCCTGCTAGAGTGAATTATTTCATTAGTGCCAAGGTAAAGCTGTGCCGCTGATCCCTTGCATGTTTTGCCCCTTCCCCACGTTTTAAATGTTTATGCATGTGCTCAGGGCCGTGACCATCACTACAGGAGTCAGTGGCTCATACACAATCTATTCCTGCTGGCCTAAAAAGCTGCATGGGATTAGCAGCTTCATGAAAAATATAAATACCAGCAATGTACACACTAACATTTTTTAATAAAAAATCATTTGTTTAAATATTATTTTTATTGCAATTTAGCTTGACCTACACAAACACAGACACCTCCATCCAATGCTTTAGAGCCAATTCAACAAAGAATTCAAACATCAGACTATTAAAATTAAAATACACCAGGTACGAGAAGTCTAGCAGGCGGGCCATAAAAACTTAGACCTCCCCTCCATATAGACACTGATAAATAAACACCCACCACAATAACCCCCACCACCTACAAACACACACAGGGGGAAGGAGATTGTAGATGCTATGTGGAAAAACTAGAGGTGGCGCTTGCTTCCCATGACACAAGTAAGCATGCATGCACTCAAGAGGGATAAAGGAATGCAAGGAAACTAACTTATTGAGACTAACATAAATTAGTGGACAGATAAAAGGACTCAATTGAGAAGGTAATTAGTATAGTAAGGAATTGGTTAACAACAAAAATAGTAAAAAATTTGGTTGATGGACACTCCTAACAATAATTTGATGTAAAGAGAAGGAAATAATAAGAAGGATAAAGGGGGGTCACAGAAGAACAGACTAGATTATGTTGTATAGTGGAAGGCCTTATTATAGAAAATGTATCTGATTGCAGAATTGGTATGTATGAGAAGGGAAAGAATGCCCCTAAATAGAGCAAAACGAATGGCGGAAGTGTTCAGAAATGACAGAAAATGGCAAAATTTACCTGAATTTTTTCTTAGGTAAATTTTCTCGAATGAAGGGCAAGATCAAGATAAAAAAATCTTGAAGACAAGCAATGAAGCTGTGTGTATGCAATTTAATTAAGATTGTCTGAATATCATAGTGGATTTGGTTATGTACAAGGATATCATCAGTGCAGGTAACTAGTACAATAATATTTTGTGGACTTGTTGGAAAGCTTGGTAGCACCAGTAGGGTTACCTTACCTTGCCATGATTTTGGGGCAAAGCGTCCTCGCGGCCCGGTCCTCGACCAGGCCTCCTCCTTGCTGGACTGTGGGAAAATCTTTCAAACAACCCAAGTTCTCGGCGACAACCCCGAGAACAAACTGGTGGGTTTGTTCCGGGTTTTTCTGTCATCTAATGCCTCTGTCTACCTAGCACTAAATAGGAACACAGGTGTTAGCTTGTTATGGGGGATGTATTCTGGGAAGGGTCAGTACAGTAGTTCAAGCTGAATTTAATTGAGGGCCACTAATGGCCTCGATGAGGACAGGAAGTCGGCAGCTTGTTGATGGTCCCTCACATTTGCCTTGATCTTTTCCAATTGTACTTTAAAATTTAAAAAGAGTTTGAGCATTTACGGCTTCGGCGGGTAGGCGGTCCATGGGTTAATAACCCTGTGGGTGAAAAAGCATCTCTTTTTCTGTCCTACATTGTGGCGTGTTGAGCTTGACACCATTAAAAGGCACTACGGGCTCACCATAGCTCGTGCTATTTGGAACTTTGTTCCAGGTAGCGAATCTTTTTACAACAACAATTGACACCATTGGTCCTTGTTTGCGTTGCATCTGACCTTTTGGAGCAGTTGTCTGGATTATCATCATCCAAATTGCTTAGTATTATAAAAGTTTCGATGAGATCAACCCTATCATGTCCAGTTTGCCGTGTTGTTAGGCCTGTGGCCCTCAACCTGTCCTGTATGAGAGTTGACGTAGTTCTGGAATGATTTTCGTCATACGGTGTTGAACTTTCTCTAAAGCTGCCATGTCTTTCTGAAGATGAGGTCTCCATGCTTAGACACAATAATCTAAGTGGGGACGCACCAGAGATTTATAGAGTTGAATCACTACCTTCTTTTCCTTGAAGTCTAAGATTCGTTTGAATATTCCTAGGATTTAGGTTGCTTTGTACAACAAGTGGGAGAGGCGGTGATAACCGAGCTCCCACTTGTGCAACTTTCAGTGATTGCTGGAGTCTGACTCCAAGGTTCTTTTCTTCATCACACACAGAGATCACAATAACGTGATGCATCAAATGAACAAATCCACAAGGGCTGTGACGAGGACTCGAACCTTCGAACAGTGTCTGGGACGCTCCCGGACGCAGTTTCGAATCCTCGTCATGGCCCTTGTGGATTTGTTCTTTTCTTCATCAATCTGCTGCAAAGTAATATTGTTAATTTGGTAGTTGTGCAACCCGTCCTCCTAACAGAGCGTCGCATTTTGACGTACACTTTATCTATGAGCAAACATCGTCGTCAAGAAAATGGTAGCGGCTCCCGAAATTGACATTCTGTCTCGTTTTCTGTTTTGGATCCTCCGGTAGGTTAGGATAAGGGCACTTTAGTACGACAGTTTCATGACGTTGGGAAACCTTAGGTGGACGGGCTGAGTTGCGATGTGCATTGTTATGCATATTTTTATGGTTTTACATTTTTTGACATTGAAAAGCATTTGCCAGTCTTCACGTGTGGTAACACTTGAGGAATTTATATATATATATAGTTACATTAATTTAGTTTCTCTTTTGTAGCCATGAAAATGTACTAAACCTGTGGAAGAACTTTAATGTAGAAGCCTTTACCCCATATTTCGTGGTCAGCTTAAAAAAAACTGAAACCCGAAATTGCTCATCAGATTTACAGTACAACTGGAAAAGATCAAGGGAAATGGTAGAGGCCCTTCGACAAGCCGCCAGCTTCCTGTCCCCGTCGAGGCTACTAGTGTTAGTGGCTCTCAGGTAAACTCGCGTAAAGATTCCTAAAACGCTACGTGGAAATTTTGCCTTGACTGATTCTATAAATAGAAGCTGCGTCTTAAATTAATTAATAGTGGCTTGTCGGCCGCGAAATCCTCCACTTACTATGTATCTTATGTATGCATCTATGTATATGTGTACTCTTGCTTAAATAAAAGATTATTATTATTATTATTATTATTATTATTATTATTATTATTATATAACAGTATTGCAATGTAAGCTTTTAAAAGAGTTTACCATTAAAATATCTCAAAAATGAAATGGCTTTCATAAAAAACTTTATCATGGATGACTTTAATATTATTCGATAACAAAGTTCGAAGATGTTTGTCACCATTCACCATTCCCCGAATGGTGAATGGTGAATTTACGGGGAAGGAGACATTCACCATTCCATTCAATGGTGAATGGAATAGTACCATTCCATGGTACTATTCACCAAGTATGGTACCATTCACTATATGGTATGGTACCATTCACCAAGTACCCATTCAACCAAGTGAATGGGTACCTGGTTGTTAAAGGATTTGGCGGGTCGTATTCCAGGGAAAATTAGGATTAATGACCTGTCCGACACGCTATGCATGTTAGTGGCTTTACAAGAATGTAACAACTCTTGTATATATAAATAAAATAAAATACAAAAAAACATATAATCAAACTTCGTCGATAATCACTGGCGTAGAGAGATCTCTTCCGGCAACAGAAATGTTGACTATGTTGAAGTTTCAGGTTCGTTGACCATGTTTGATGGAAATTGTATACGTGTCCTTATATGTTATCATATGGCATGGACGCGTCCCTATGTGTTATCTTGTATCTTGTACGTGTCCATGTGTGTGTGTTATCTTGTGTCCTGTACGTGTGCTTTCGTTTTTTTTAGTCTCTATTATTGTTGACCAGACCACACACTAGAAAGTGAAGGGACGACGACGTTTCGGTCCGTCCTTGACCATTTTTAAGTCCATTGTCCAGGACGGACCGAAACATCGTCGTCCCTTCATTTTCTAGTGTGTGGTCTGGTCAACATAATTCAGCCACGTTATTGTGACTCATCGCCTGAATATAGTATCTATTATTATTTCAACAAAGATTCCATTCATTTCAGTGATTGTAACCTATCCACCGCTGCCCACTGGATGGCGGGAGGGTGTAACTTATCCACCGCTGGTCACTGGACGGGGGGCGGTGTGCAGGACAAACATATCAATTGTGACACTAGCTCTCCACATATGTCAGTTGCTTAATTTAGAAACTGTACTTGTGATCGGTCTCGAGCCCATTGTTGATGTAATGATGTGTATTGAATTTTGTAACTAGCTCATCAAGGTTGTAACTTGCTTAGCTAAATGAATTGTGGGGTTCAGTCCCTGAGCCCATTATGTGCCTCTAACACTGTCCACTGCCACCCACGGGAAGGGTACGTTGTTAGTGAACAACATTACTGCCAACTGACAGAAACAATTCGAGGTAAAATATAAAAATTATCAATGACTGACGTATCATCAGAATAATCTAGATTAAAATATTTTGCCAATGTTTACTTCCAAATACTGAATTAAAATTGTAATAATCAGATTCAATAAAACGGGTTTTGTAATTTCTGGTATCCCGAAGGGTAAAGTTTGACCTGTGTTTCAGTGTTAGCATTGGTAACACTGAAACACTGGGATTGTGCTTCTGGGAGAATTTTGCTCTCATAATTGGTTCAATACCATTGCCACCACCACACTGTAGACGAGTGATCCTAGTCTCCGTGGTGCAGTGGTAAGACACTCGCCTGGCGTTCCGCGAGCGCTTTGTCATGGGTTCGTATCCTGGCCGGGGAGGATTTACTGGGCGCAAATCCTTAACTGTAGCCTCTGTTTAACTCAACAGTAAAATGTGTACTTGGTTGTAACAACGATTCTTCGCGGCGGGGATCGTATTCCAGGGACCTGCCCGAAACGCTACGCGTACTAGTGGCTCTACAAGAATGTAACAACTCTTGTATATATATATAAAAAAAAATGACGATGATAGAAGTAGTCATGAACAAATCCACAAGGGCTGTGA